GCTTTCGAAAGCTATTCTTTCTTTCTTTCCTTTCTTTTTGTTGTCTTCTTGCTTTTTGACAGTTAAAGCTACCAAAGTTTATGTATCTTCAGGTTTATTGAACAAATGGTTTTAGCCCTTTAATACCTTGTTTCACTTCATTCCAAAAGTGAACATTCATTTGGACACAAAACAGGGCACAAAAGGAATGTAAATATCTCTATAAGTGGTCCTTCGTCATGTGTGTGGCCTCAACTTCGATAACAAAACTAAACAAACAAACAAAACACAAAACTCAACAAAAACCAAATAAAAGTCAAACAAACACAAACCAGCATAACAGCGCCATCTATTGCATTCTTTTGTAATAAAACTTTTGATAAATCAAAAAAAAAGATTTTCATTGAAAAAAAGTTAATCAGTCGATTAATAGTCGAAACTATCGACTGATTGTGATCAGTCTCATTTCATTATTTTTCAATTGTTAAACTGCTTTGAACTTGTTTGAGTGAAATGAAAATTAAGGTAATGATCATCAATGGATCAGTAAAGTGTAAGAGTAAATGATTTGTCGGTAAAACAATTGGAAAGCATTAAGGAGAAGATGAGGAATAAATGATGATAATAATGATGAAAGTGATGAAAAGATGAGATCGAGATGAAAGTGATGCTTTTCGATGTTACCTTTGATATGAACAAGTTGAGAGAAGAAGAAAAGTTGTTATCACGATTTTTTGCTTTGCATCGTTTAAACTGATTGAGAGTGGGCCAAAAGAGACAAAATTGTTGCTGTTAAATCGTTATTATGGTTAGTAATATAAAATAGCCGCAAGTTATTTGATAGAGTCAACAATTAACAAGAGCAACAACAATCATGATGAAAGTTGAAATAATAATGATAATCTCATTTCAACAATTGAACCTTTTTTGTGATTCATTTTCGGCTTCAATTCACCTCATCATTATATTATTAAATAGGATCATTAAACGAGTAACTTATTACTTTATATCTACTGATCAATAACTTTTTTTTGTGCAATGTTTATCATTCCATTCAATCTTTACTCTCCTATCATTTATCCTACAATTTCAATCGTAATTGAATTCTTTACCTGTTCATGATACAACAATAAACACCGTGTTATCACTTACTGTTAATCTGACCAAGGTGTTGAAAGAATCATGTTCAGAGTAGATCATGATTAACACCTTTTCATACCGTCAATCGATTCAACCATCAGAATCAAGTAACACCGAGTGTTAACATTTTGTGATTAGATTTGACTGATTTCAAGTTTGTCCAGTTCTTGCTTTTGGCTATTGATTGGAATCGATGCGCATTTTGTTAAAAATGCTTAATTTATAAAAATGAAAGATCGAATATGAAGGTAAATCTTTGAATGTAAATTTTACAATAAATCTCGGTTGTCTTCAATGGAATCAGTGTTCGGTGGTTCGAAGCTTGATTAATTTATCAAAAAGATCGAATATGAAGTTTTGCTTTTTTTGCTTTTTTGAAGTTTGTATTTTTGCATTAAAATCTGAATTCTGGGTGAATGTGGAAATGAATCAGTAGACTTCGTGTAGACACAATGTTTAATTCTTACGTTGAGTGCGGTTAAGATATTTGTGAGTTTTTTTAAGTTCTTCAGAGTTCATTTTATCGCAGTCCAGATCAATTTTTGTGAATTTATGATCTTCGGTAAAATTTGTTTTCAATGTTTTTATATCATTAAGTTTTGCTATTCTTCAGTCTGCTTGAGATATTTGTCAATTTATTCATCAAAAATGGAAGATCTCGATTGGTTATTCAAAAATGAATGCTTAGTTGCAGTTCGATATCATTTTAAGGTTATTCGTGTTCTTGTTAATTTGCAAGCTAAATATACACAAACACTGAAACTTGTCTTTATTGCGTGTTAATCAACTATTAACTGAGATCCGAAACTTTCATCAAGTGGTTGTGTTTATTTGCATACATTTTGTTGGTTTAAATTGAATCTTTAAAACTGCGGTATGACACTTTCTTGAAACATAAAATTTCGACTCTGGATTTGCAATAGTGATGGACACTCTTCGGTCATTATACTGATCGATCATAAAAAATTTTCAAAGAATCGATTATTGATCAGCTTTAATTCAAAGGAAACAGTAATCAGCTAAAGTTTCAGTTTTAAAGTCATTTTTAAATATTAACTAAAACTCGATAAAATGACCTTTTCAGTGATTCTGTAGTAAACCTTAGCACTTACAAAAAAATGGAAATGAAATTCTTCATCTTAAAAAACTTTTCTTTCCCAGTATCATCTCTTACAGGGCATTAATTATGAACTGAATAGTTACAAAAATAAAATGATGACAATTAAAATGAATGTTATTTACTGTTCATCAAATTAAACTCTAATCTGTTAACAATAATCACTTGCAAGAGATGTTTAAGGTTAAGAGTTAAAACGTAAATTATTGTTGGAAATGCGATGAAAGGTCAATTAAAGTGATGATAAACAACAATTAAGAGGTATGATTAGTCGAGAATAAATAGTATTCACGATTGTTCCTAAAGCTTTGTGGTCAATTGAGCTTAATATATTACAAGAAATGATAATAATTAAAGTTAAGCTCACGTCCAAAGAGCTTTTTGTTTCTCAAATATTTGGTTTATTTGATTGTTGAGCACGTTTTACCTTTGATAATCAACCATTTTAATGGTTGATCAAGCAAGTGCGCAAGTGAATCAAACAATTTGAAATTGAAATGATTAAAAGAAACAACAAATGGAAGAGAAAAAAAGGAAAAAGAATCTTGAAAAGTTCGATAATTATTATTGGCCATTTTAATTCGTTTACCCAAAAAGGAACCTTAAATTGCTCCTTAATACCGTAAAGGTAAAGGCCATAGATGTTGGTGTCAAGACGTGTTCATGTGCTTAAGAAACTGCGGCAAAGTGAATTGCACGATTCAAGAAGAGATGATAATAATATTATTAATAATGATGAAAAGTTGGTTGATGATGATAACAAGGCAATTGAAAGTGGAAATGAAATAAGGCGTTGAAATGTAGCAGAATAACAAAACTAATGTTTGCTCTGTTAATTTGTGTTACTTTAATGTGATTCCCTGAGTGGAGAGTAATATTGAATGGAAACATGTTGATAAACCGAGAAAGGTAATCGTGATAATGCTCTAGGCCATATTACAGGTTTAAACATGTTAATGACCATCGAGACTATGGTAGAGAAGAGGTGAGGCCAATACAATTTTTTTTCATCTTTTTTTCTTCTTCTTCTTCGGGTTACATTAAATATGATGAACAACAAGAAAACAGCTTCCAGAGAAGAGGATGAATGGGAAGACGTGAGACTGATGATGACCACGAATCGGCATCAGATTGTGAATCATGGAGAAAGATCTGAAACTAATTATAAGAAAGTCTTCAATCGATGGCGACCAAAGTGTTAAACAGAAATGGCCTTTTCTTTAATTGACTTTTAAATAAGCAAATAGATTGAGAAGGAGCGGTCATCATTCTCACTCTATCATCACTCTATCATCATTCATTGCATGTTGCTCCATGAGACTCATTAAAACTCATTCACACTTTTGACCAGGAAAAATGTTTACCTTTAAAGGTTGGTGTTATTGTAATGTTGATATTTATGGGTTTTGTTTTGCTTGCGCTGTGTGGGTTTGTTAATCTTGTTGAGTGATGATCAGATTTATCTTTTAATTGCAATTAACTTGATATTTTTCTCACCTCACCTTCTCAATTTATGATGTTGATGAGTCTGAGAATGAAACACTGAACAAAAGTCAATTAAGATTGGTGTAAATTGAAGTACAATTGGTTTTAAGTATTTCGTGTTAACTAGTCTTGAAGATTCATTTTTTGTTGTTTTACCTTTTTCCAGTGAAATAAATGTTCCTATGATTAGCATTTTGATTAAATGGCTTTCCATTTAATTGATAAACTAAATTTATTTTTTTCCTTCATTTTTCAGCCCAAAAATAAATAAGCAAATAAACACTGTTAATGAACAGTTGAAATACAAATGTTAATAATGAAAAATATGATGTTTTACATTGCCGCAAGGCTTGTTAGTTAACAAACTAATTGGCTATGGATTTGTATTATTTTTGCTTTATTTTCAATTCAACACAAAATGAGGATGAAAAAGTGATGAAAAGTGATGAGAAGAGGAGGATTTTTCAGCACTCAAGGAGTAAATTGAGTATCGCCTGAGAAGCATTTCGTTTCTTCGCCCGTTTTTTTACCCATTTGTTGTTGTTATTTATTTCAATTTTTCACAGCTTCTTGAGAGTCTTGGCCTCATCCATTCAGATTAATATTATCATGATAACAACATTGGAACTGCAATGGAGGTCTCACAAGAGTAAATTGAATTTCTCATCAGAAAATATCATTAATTATACTTTTATTAATTTCATTTCTTCAACATTCCTAATCAACTGTTTACTTGTTCAACATGAAATGAGTTTCAATTTTTACTTTAATTGAAAATTTAACCACAAAAAGACGCTCAATAGCAACATTGTTTTGTAACAAATCAAAGTTGACTTCAATTAATTTGTATTATTTGCATTTAATTGTAAACTGGATCAAAGGCAATTTCAGGTTTCAAAGCTTTCTGTTTAATAGCCGTAAGGTGAGAAGCAAAAGTTGAATATTATTGAAATGGTAATGATGAAGGAAAGGTAATTGTGATCGATTTGTTGAGTTGTTCAACTTATTATTTTGTATTCTTAATTATGATTAATCGATGCTTTAATTTGTTCAATTGTTGAACCTTTTGTTTTCCCAATGTCTTTCAGTGTTTTCCTTGTTTTCCTTGCCTTCATCAATCATTTTCATCATTAAATGCTATTATTCAATCTTAACGCAATCATTAAATTTCATTGCTTTACTTTATTTGTAAATTATTTTCAAATTGCTAATCATTACCATGTCATCAGCTTTTATCACCATTCACAGACCAGATTGTATCAAATCAATAATTGAAACATTGATATTTTGTTCATTTGGAAATGTATTTTTTTAATCAACTTTTGTCTTTTGTTGACAAATTTCAACTGAAACAATTCAGTGTTTCATTGAGTGGCATTTTCAATTGCACTTTAATTTGAAATTCATGATATAAAATGTATCAAATTACATTAAAGGAAAGTTATTTAATGATATTCAAGATGTTCAAGTAAGTTTTACCTGAATGGTAATTTTGATGAATTAGCAGTTACGAGAATTATGATGAAGTGACTTTTGCAAATTAGTAAATTGATTGCTTCAAATTCATGGTAACATTGAAGAGGCCAATAAATAGCAAGTAAATAAAATAATATAATTTTATGCTTTGCTTTAGTTTTACTCATTTTACTATCTTCTTCCTGTGAATAGTTGAGCCAATGAAAGGACCACCAAAGGAATATCATATTATTCCAGAGTTTATCAAATGGATTGATTCTAATGTTAATCAACTTGAAAATGGCTTTTCTCGTGAACTCTCAGGTTATCCCGAGTTCCAAATCTCTTTGAACATGATCCACACTGGAATGGTTTAAGTCCTGTATGGACTGACATGTGTCTTTTAACGGTTGACTTTTGACTGAACCGACGACTGCACAGATTACAACTGAATGGCTTTTCGCCCGTGTGAATCCTTACATGAACCTTTAATCTTTCCCTGTCTACAAAGCGTTTCTCACAATATCCACAGGGAAACGGTCTTTCACCGGTATGTGATCTGATGTGCCTCTTGAGTGAATTGAGCTGCGTAAATCTTTGAGCACACATTGGACATCGGTTTTCTTTGACTCGGTTATTTAGGGAAGACGAAGAGGAAGATGGTGATAATGCTGATGACAATGATAAGGATAATGCTGATGAAAGTGATGTTGAATGTAAATTTTGCGCTGAAATTTGATTGTTGCTCGATGAAGAATTTTCCATATTCTTTAAAGGCTCATTTTCAGCTTCAAAGTCTTGTCTTGAACTGCTGTTGTCGCAGCTGGTTCCACTTCTTGCTGTGGTGATTACGCTTTGGCTTATGGGTGATGTGTTTTTGATGATTGAGTTTGGTGATGTGTTCCTATTAATTGTGTTACCACTGTCAACTGTAGATTTGGTTATCAAATTGATTGGTTGATCTATTTGATTAGTTGTGAATCCTGGTTGGGTTGTTAGAGTGGCATCAATATTGCACGAGGCACGCTGAATAATTATCAAACTATCAAAAGAGAGAGAGAGAAAGAAAGACATTAATTAGGCGATCAAGGTGACCTTCAACAATTAAAATGTAACAATTAAGTATACATACAATACACTTTACATGAATAACTTCTTGTGGGTTTTCATCAAATCTAGGGTTAACAGGAAAAAAATAATGATGATCGGTGTATTTTACTTACTCTTGTTTTACTTCCTCTCTCAGAGACTCGTCTCTTTCAACTATCTTGGCCTCCAGTTCAGATATTATTGAATGTAGTTTATTAAATAATAAGTTGATGTCCTGTTTGAACTGTTTACTTGACGAGATGCTGGACATGTTGCTTTTCCTATTAATTGACGCCAATTAATAATCCTTAACCATAGTTAAAAGCACAAGCAAAAATACTTTAATTAATTAAGACAAAAAGAAATGTGGAGAAACAATAGAGCCTTGAGTGCAACAACTCAATTACTGATTATATCTCTCTCGTTGGTTACCTCTCAGTTACACTGATTAGAAATAGAGTAGTGAAGAGGATGCTTCAATTCGAGATAGCTTATCATCCCTTAAAATTATATAAATATTAAATAATTAATAGTGCCATCTCCACGGGAATGACATTGGTTCCAAAAAAGCGGCATCTTGGTAGAATGGCTTTTGGTATTTTTCACATTATTCACGAAATGAAATCGACATGAATATTTGACTATATTTCGTTGTTTACCACCACTTTCTGGTAAAAGAGCACAATGTTTAATCAAAACTTCAATTTATTGTAAATTAAATGGTACCAATAATTTGGTAGAATAGAAATAACAAAATAGTTGCATTTATCATATAATTGATTGTCACCGGGTAGCAATATTTTTTATACAATAACAGGAGTTAAGCTAATGTGGCTCTTTGTTGCATTGGTAGAGTTGAGGTTTCGATTCCCGAAAACTTGTCATATCTAAAAAGTCAGAGAGAAAAAATTGTTTATAAATTGGGAAATAGAAGATAAATTTGATTTGAACTTACATGAATCGATATTCAGCTCGTTTAACTGAATCAATACACGGTTTAGTTTTCAACTTTGCTGATAAAACGTGGCTCTCGCTGATTTTAATCGCTTCGTTATTTATTGGTAAGTTTGTCAAGTTTACATTTTCCTCATGCTTTTCAATTGCCTCATACTGTGAGTTGATGAGTAATGCTCTTATATCTGCTCCAGTGAAATTTTCAGTCAATTCAGGAATAATACTGTGATTGAAACCTTCATCAAAGTTGATATTTTTACCAAGAACTTTCCAGATATCCAAACGATCATCATCTGAAGGAAAATCACAACATATATATTTATCAAATCTGCCTGGACGTAATAAGGCTGGATCAAGTAAATCAGGTCTAGAAGTAGCTGCAATGGCATAAACACCTTGCTCAATCACTTCTACTCCATCCATTTGAGCTAACAATTGATTAACAACTCTATCTGTAACTCCCGTTGTATCTTGTCCTCGTCGAGGGGCCAAAGATTCAAATTCGTCAAAGAAAATTATACAGGGTTTAGCGATTACTGCTCTTTCAAACAGTTCTCTAATTGATTCTTCGCTTTTCCCAATATATTTAGACAACAGCTCAGGTCCACGAATTTTGATGAGATTTACTTTACTTTCACTAGCAAGTGCTTCAGCCAATAAACTTTTTCCTGTTCCAGGAGCACCGTAAAGAAGAATGTTTCTGGGTGGACGAATGGGGCATTTACTAAATAATATTGGATATTTTATCGGCAATAGAAGAGTACTTCTCAACAAATTTTTTACATCATTCAATCCGCCAATATCTTTGAATGAAATGCCATTATTTTTTTCAATCCGAATATCAGTCATCATTGACGGACGGAAAATTTGTAAAGCTTCTTCGAAATTTTCTGGCCCAATATCAGCAGTTTGATTCGTAGTAACTTTGTTGTGAATGGCTGAGTCAACAAGATTTAATAGATCAGCAATTAAATATCCTTCACATCGATAAGAAATCTGATCCAACCATTGATAAGTAGAGTTGATTGAACCAGTATGATGATCTAAGAAACTCTTGATAATTTGCCTCCTTTGCTCGAAATTTGGATTTTCCAAATTTATTGTCTCAGAAAATACTGATCGACCTCGAATTGATGTAAGAATCGGATTCAATGAAGATTGAGAGTTACAAGTTGCGACTAGGGCAATTTTCTGGCCAAATTTAATGTTGAGTTCATCAAAAGATTTAATAATAGATGAGAATATACATGAAGCCCGAATAGAAGCGATAGTATCAGCACCAGGAACCTCTTCTAATCTTGAAATGTGTGGTGCTACTTGATCGAGGCCTTCAAATATAAGTACTGAGGGCTGGGCGTAAATGCATTCAGCAATTTGTGTGATCCATTGTTTCTTAAGTGAAGATATAGTTTTCCATGATCCGCATTGGATAGTTTTGATGAACACTGATGGAAATTTTTGCTTAGTTAATTCAATGACATGCTTGAGAAAACATGTTTTCCCACTGCCTTTGGGGCCATGAACTAACAGAACGTTTCGTGCGAATGAGATATTCCTTTTGATAATTTCTTTGGTTGAGTTTTCCTGATTTAAGATGCGGTTTAAAAAATTTGTAGCCGAGCTTATCTGATTCTCCATCCAAGGTATAAAAGGATAAGGTAGATAAACGGTCAACATTTCACTTTTAATTTCAGAACCACTGAGTTCAGGAAGTTTCATTAATGGTAGACGTTTGCCCCAGCTTGTTGAAATTTGTTTGAAATTGACACTCTTTATCCTAATATCCAACTTATCGAGATTTTTTTCATCAATTGGAATACATGGTTTCTCGGGATCACAGGAAATAATGAAACCTTGGCCATTCACCTCAATACACGAGCCCCGACAAAGCATCAAAATTTTATGCTTTGATATATAAGACTTAAAACATTGTCGGATCGATTCACTTGTTGCAATTGTTCGCAAATTGATAGGACTTAAGTGAATTGAATCTTGAGCTGGAATTTTGATTTGAGAACCATCATTTAAAGTTGGAAATTTACCTCGATGAAAAAATATTTTACAGTTGTGTGATAAATCCATCTGCATTCTTAAATTATCACTCGAGTAAATACTAGACACAGGACAAGAAGACAACCCTCTTACTAGGATATAAGTGCTGAGAAACAAATCTTCCTCCTGTGGATCTATCGAATCAGCTCGTCTGTTAATGGTATCAAAAGTTCTTTTCTGTTCATTCTTTTTTGACTTTTCACAAGGTGGCAATAATTTATTCAGAATCAGGACACCAAAATCATCGCCAGATAAATCAAATTGTTCTGCATTCACCCAGACTGTGTTGAGAACAGAACTGACATCTAAATTGGACGGTGCTGGTAAGACATTGAAAATTGTGTTTGTAATCGTTTCATCGATGTTTTTACAAAGAATATAATTTAGAATGACCGAGTCAACTGTGTCAGTGGCATCACCATCATTCGTGTTATTTGAATTGTTAAAAAACGATAAAAAACTAATGAATTTTCCAGTGACAGATGACACTTTTAACGATGCTTGATTTTCATCTTGACCAATTTCAAGGAGAGAATCTTGAACCAAAATACAGAAATTGACATTTGGTTTTGTTTGAGTAACTTTGAAAATCAAAATGGTATTGCAAGATGTTAAGAAAGGGAAGACGAGTCCTGGATAAACAATGCGTATTTGGTCCAAAATAGTATCAGTCATTTCATTTTTATAGACATCGATGCCGATTCCTTTTGGCTCAATTAATACAAGATTACAATGGTGACAGTCAGGAGGCCGTTCTTTAACAAATCTAACCGGCACTAATGATCCATTGTTTAATCCCAGCTGTTGTCCCAAAACTTGAGGGAAATGGATTGTTTCTGAGCTTTTGTCATCATGTCCCAATGCCGTGAAATAATGTGGACTGTGAAATTGTCCTCCAATCGTAACTTTCACAATGCATAACTTGGTGATAAAAATGAAAAAAATTAATGATCAGCATGTATAGAACTTTTAAAAAATTTTTATACTTACCGGCTGATTCTGCAATATTTTGCGAGCAACTTTCACGAAACAGTTATTGCTTTCGATTAACTTCACAACTAAAAAATGAGTGTCTTCCATTAAGGCGAACAGGAACTGTCACTAACAGAGGTGCTTTGGTTAGTCAGCTTTCTGCTTATTTTAAACAGCAATCGTGTTTGGTCCCCCCAGTTACAAACTCAGTCGGTAAAGGTAAACAAGAATCCGTCAGCTTTTTTGCTAGAGCTCCCTTGGTTACTGGTAACCGGTTAACTTACAATTGTACAGGAGTCTAGAAATGCAAAGGCACCCGACTCTACGCATGCTCATGTACTTAAACTTTTTGCGATCTTTTTAAAATCATTTTGTACAAAGAGTAAAGGAGTAACTTCTTTACTCTTTGATTTTGTAGGTTCATTGATGATTTTAAATTACATTGAGTTGATCAGTTAATATCAGGATTTAAATCAATCAGCTCATTTTGCTTGTTAAAAATCTAATTATCTTCTTAAAAATGCATATTATTATGAGTTTTTCAGCAAATTGAGGAGATCCCCCACAATTCCCCCACTTTACGCTGTATTCGTACCTGGCTTGATGATTATCTAAGTATTTTTAGAGTGGGATTTGATATAAGAAATGATGAAATGATGAAAGGAGCCAATTCAATCTTAAATTACCAAAAAATAATCAAAAATTGAATTAGAAATGAAACAATCAAATGTGATTCAATGTCTTCTAGCTGATTAAATGAGCTCTCATTCCTGTTAATATGTGATATTTATCAATAGAAAATTTTGTCCTTTAAAGATCAAAAATGCAAAATTTTATCCTGAAAATCAACAAAATAAAATCTAATATCTTGCAATTTATTGAAATTATCAACTTTTTAAATGTTAGCAAAAAGTTTAAGTACTTGAGCATGCTCAAAATGACGGGTGCCTTTGAATTTCTTGAATCCGTTGCCTTGGTTATCACAGACGCTAAATGCTCTTCTTTGATTGGTTAGGTGCCTTTGCATTTCTAGACTCCTGTTACAATTGTAGAGAGAAAGCAAAAGTAACCAATGCTGGTTACTCTAAACGGTATTTTTGGTAAGTCATAAGAAGTCAAGATTTTCTTGCTAGATTGAATTCATTCAGATTTACTTTCCGTCTTGATAATTTTGCCATTTTTCGTTGTCTGCAAAGACTCATAATTATCATAATTCACTGTTTCAGTCAATTTCTGACTAGTAATCATTGATTTCAAGATCTTCGTTTACTTTAACGCTCTTTTTAACTTTGACGATAACTTTAACGTGACTTTTACCCAACGTCCAAGTCAATGACAAGAGGATCTGAAAGAGCGAACTGACGGATTCTTGTATGCCTTAAGAGTATTATTAATACCGTTTAGTGATGTGCTAATATATCGAAACAACCGATATATATCGATATTTTTTCACAAGAAAATATCAATATGAGTTACGATATGGTATCGATATAAAAACATTGAAAAAATGGTTAAAGTTGCACCTTTGGACATTAATGCGTCCAATTTTTTCATGAACAATCTTTCTCGTCTTGAAAATATTTGTGTTTTACAGTTAGAAATTTTGAATTGATAATTGCATCAAGGCTAAGAACATGTGACTTTGCAACTCTGCGTGAGAAAAACATTTCAGCAAATCAAATGAGTCAAATTTCAATGTAAAAAAGTTTTTTGATATTTTTTGATATATCGATATCAAAGCCCTCAATATCAAAAATATCGATATATAAAAAATACTCATATCGAACATCACTAATACCGTTTTACCATTACGGTAAGGGCCTAACCGCACATTCATCGGCTAAAATTGAGGAATTTTTCAGAAACCGATAGTATTAAAAATCGATAGTATCGATATATTGTTTAAAAATTACCTTTTAAACACGCTTAACCCGGGAATTGGTTTGATATTCTGTTTGTTTGCTGAGATGGCTGACCATTCTAGGTAAGTTTTCATGGTGTTTAAACTTTAATCAGCTTTTAATTTTATGTTTATTGTTCATATTATTCAGTTTAGTAACAATGGAAATGATCATCGAGCGAAGAAAACAAGTCAAGGCCGCAAAAGAAGCTCTTTTTTGGGGTTTGGCGAATTTGCTTGCCATGTTAACAATTGTGTCCGATATGTAAGCAAGTTAAGCTTTTTTTTGTTTATGAGTGTTGTATTAAACTTAATTTTTTTCAGTCTCACAGGAATCTTCAGATCTTATATGTCCTCTGCCTTTTCACAAGTTTTTTTTGGAATAGGTGAGTGAATTTTACTGATCTCAATTTGTTTTCAATATTTTCCCACAGTTTTAATTGTGTTATCAATATTTTTGTTTTTTTGTAGAAATAACATTGACGTTGTTATTCGGTGCCAATGCTATTTATGACTTTTATCTACACTCTTGGTTACGAATTTGGATGCAACCCATCGAAGTAACCGCTGAACAAAAAAGATTATTCAGAATTGCTGATAATGAAATTGGTTTCAAAGATTCAAAATCAGCAGCATCATTTCGAGCTAAACTCTTGTCTAGAGTTAAAACATCATCGCCGATGGCATTTGCTTCACCTAAATTCTCTATTCTGTCTGACAAGGATGTGTCAGCCACTCCACCTCTAAACTCTTCTTTCTTTACTTCGACACCATGTAATTTAAGCTTAGATACATCATGGCATCTTCTAAATCCTGCATCTGCTGACAATTCCTTCAATGAAAATTCACTTAGACGACGTGCGACGGCAACTTTATCTGACAGCATCAAGGATGAAACTAGTCTGATGAGCTATTTGAAAGAGTTCGATGAGGTCGAAGAAAAGATGACCCAAATGAATGTTGTAGAGCAACAAGCCTTACAAAATCAAAGTCCGTTTTCTTTTCAAAAACCTATGATTGATTTAACAAATGTCAGCTACCAACCATCTGACGATTCATCGCTTTTTATTAACGCTGACCAAGACGAAAATTTTTCAAATGTTTTCATGAATACAGAATCAGCAGACTCTGTAAGTTTATATATTTCATTATTACTCGATTATGTCACTAGCTTTTTTGCTTAAACGCTCTCATGATGTTTTGATTATTTTTTTACAGATTTGTAGCAGATTGAATATACCACCTAATAAACTAAGTAAATGGGTAGACAATATTAAAAATTGGATAAACACAACAATTCTGGCTGCTGTTGTCAAAGATATTGAAAAAATCAACGAAACTTTGATTAAAGCTGGTTTAGTTGAATCTTTAATTGGAGGTGAGTACTGAGTTCATTTATCTGCTTTTGCTTAAAATCTTTTTTTTTGTATTTAGAGGTTGGATTGTCTCAAGTTCGTCAACTTTCGACTCTTAAATCAAAAGAAATACCAACTCTATCGACTATTTTGGCATATTTAGAACTATCTATCCATCAGGAATATTTAATCAAAAGATTACAAGGTTAGTATGAGTTTTTTTATTTATCCTTCCCCAATGATACGATTTCCATTCATTTTTTTGAATCTTTATTTTCAGATTTAAATAAACGGAAACTGGGCAACTTTGTTTGGAATAGCGGTGCATCTTTTAAAGGCAAATCATGGACAGATGAATGGCCTACAGACGCACACATAATAATGCATTGTTTCTGTACTTACATGAATTCAAAATTGCCTTCTAACCCTAACTATCCAGAAACCAAGGCCTTTACTGGACAATATTTTCGTGTTCTTGAAGGAGGTGTCGACAAAACAAATAAGGTCCAAATTCATATGTTACAAACTAAAAGTCACCCTCCTCATTTTGATGTCGTTGTTAAAGCCGAAGACGTGATTGATATACCGAAAGGAAGAAACAACGTTTTTTATGCCATCATAATTTTTCTATTTTTCATCAAAACAAAACACTATGGTTTTCTAGGACGTGTCAATCTCGGACCTTCAGGCATAAATATATTATGGACTATCGATTGAACATTTTATCCATTTGATCTCTCTTATGTTCAGTTCATGTTGTCTATTTTCATTTATATGATAATTAAATAACTAAATAAATATTTATCCTTTCTCTACACCAGAACGAAGTTATAGCTCATTCATTTTTATCTTTGTTTTCACTCCAAGAAATTAACTGTTTAATCCTAATATTAATACATAATAAAGTACTTTTTAAGAATTGACACAAATCTTTCTATTATTTTAATCATTTATTTTTAATCAAAATTGATTTATTTTAAATACAAAAAATAAAATAGTTTTAAAATTCAATAAATCTGTTCCAATCACTTGTTTAAACATATTCAAGTATAATCCATCGTTTTAACAAATCCAACTGCAGATGAAAATTGAGTCCACCAATAAGCTTCTTCTCCTTTTAATTGTTTCTCATAAAAACATTCAACATACTGAACATTAGATAAAAGTGATGCTGGGTTTGCCTTTATAAGAACAAAAACTAAAACGGGAATCAAATCATCAGCAGTTGGTACGGATTTTTCATTAGCAAGTTTCAACAAGCTCATGATTATTTTGCAACATTTAATAACACAATCCACTTTTTCTCGCGGAGTTTTGTACGCATTCAGGGTAATAATTTCTTGCTGAGCAGCTGGCCAGGGGCATTCAGAATGATATATTTTTGGTATGCGGAGATCATTATGGTCAGGAGTAATAACTTTAGATAAATTGTCAATATGTTGTTGAAGTATTTGATCACGCAAAACATCACCATCACCGTTCGGATATAAAGCAGGTATATAAATCTGACTCATGATGTGTCGTTCAATTAATTTTTTACCATGTTCAACTTGCTCTTCACTTGCGATTTGCCACACGGAATCTGTTTCCATCCCTTTAAAAAGCATGGATAGAAATTCTTCAACCAATTGGGCCTTTTCATCTGAAACATCAGTTCCTTTGAACTGTTCAATAAATTCTTTCAAAGAATTTTCTTTGTTTTCCAGATAGTACCGAACGCATAGATTTACAAGATTATGATTGCAATTTTTTTTATCCTGCCTCAAATGAGATAAAATATTGTCAAATTGGGCGATAGTTGATAACAAACTTTGACGGCAGCGAATAAGATAGGCAATATAAGGCGATCTTCGTTGATAATCTTCTCTGATTGATTTTAGAAGCTTTTGACAGTCATCTTCGCATAAAGATTTGATTCGGCGAATAGCTTCTTGTAAAGCAACTTTGATATTTGCATTGTTCATATATTCTGCTTCTGCTAGCAAACTCTGAAAAAATAAAAATATTTATAAATTAGTAAAGTACAGTGTAATATAATCGAATCAACGAAAAAAGCTTACCATCAAAAACCTGACGAGTTCAGTGTGAAGATTCGAGGCAGATGAGAGGGTTCTTGGGACTAAGTCATGAGATAACATTTGATGATGGTCAACACAGCTTAAAACGTGTCTCAGAACCTTTTTGGTGTTTTCGAAAACTTCAGATTCCTGAATTTTCAATACTTGGTCAGTGGTATCAAAATCGATTAATAAATTTTTTTCCTTAGGCCCACTGTCTATTTCATCACCTGATGAGGTATTTGATACAAGTGAAGCAAATTTGTCAATAGTTAAGCTAAGAATATCTTCATCATTATTGTCCTCGTCAGAAACCAAATCTGAAAATATTGTTACATCATTTTCCAGGTTCAGTGAAGATGGTATCACCTTTATGTTATTTTGCTTTCGACTTTGTGATTTCAACACCTTGTCCTCACTTAATAAGCCATGTTCTTGAGAAGCAAGATCGGGAAAATTTAAAACGAGTACTTCTATTTTATTGTAATCAGGCTGATTTTTAATACTGGATCCATCATTTTCAGCTGGAAATTCTGATTCAGGACGACGACGAGATACACGATTAAGAATACTTTTTTTGAATTTAGTGCTATTGCCAAGAGGCTCATCGGGTATAACGCAAGATACAGGAGGCTCTATACATGGTGAAAGTTTACTGAGTACTGATTCAGGAATTTTATTAAGTAATAAGCTGAGTTGGCTTTTAATTTCTTGGTCGCTGGAAGCATTGTTTACTTGATGGAGGAAGTCCATTAAAAGATATAAATCATTATCAGTTATTAAAGCACAAGTACGTGAAACTTCAGGTTTTTCGTCCGACATTGGCAGATGAGAATGGAAATCATTTTTTACTATCAAATCCAGTATAGATGTGACACAATTTTGAGGGAATCTAGAGTAGACATCTTTGTATTTGTGATCTGCATTCTCCCAACGATTGATTCCCAAGATTTGAATTATCTGAGCAATCTGCATAAGATTAAAACGAGCAACATGATTTATATGAGTATCAACAATACCATAAAGTTCAGGATCAACGATGGCGTGGCAAATAAAATTGGAAAATATCAGATCGGAGCATATCCCAGCAACTTCCTTAGCATCGAGAGGGTCTGATTTACGATTAAATAAGGCAATGTAAAGGTGTCTGATCAACCAGCTAAGGCTATCTGGAAAACTGAAAATATTATTGCTGATACCCTCAATAAATTTAGTAGCAAGATTCACTAGTTTATTGATCGTAAATTGACGGTGTTTTTCTAGGTTTGCCTTGTACTCTTCAGTATTCTCTTTACCAAACTGTTGATGTTTCTCGTCTTTTGAAAATCGACTAAGAGCTCTCTCCGGATCAATATCAAGGAAAAGATCATCTTCCATAAGCAAAGACATTACAGGTTCTCGTAGAGCAGAAATGAGAAATAATTTTGCTCCTCTCAATGTAGCAGAGAAAATCTTGTAAACCTGACTGAAAGCACAGGATCCATGTTGCAGCAGTCGCCTTGGATTCTCATCGATAGCTATTTTTTTGTAAATTAATTGATGTAGAAGAGACAGAACTAGACTTCTGTCTTCAGGAAGAAGGCAATCGCTATAGAGAGAAGAAAGTATAACAGGTATGATAGAAGAGATACCAGGTAAACAGGCCTTTTCTGCTTCAAGTAAAATTTGAGCAACCAGTTGATAGTTGTTTCGGAGATTATAGATTAAATCAGCAAAATAAATATGTGAAGAGGATAATTTTTTATATGATTCGATGAAAGAAACATTATCCAGAGCAGTGGCTTGAAGACAAAAATCGCCAGGATTTTGATTAACTTTACGAGAAGCCAATTTCTCTAGATTTAATTTTTGTTTACTGATGATCCAAGAGGAGTGGAACATCAATTCACTTTTCTGTATCACTTTGACATTGCACTCAGAAATATATTTTTTTTCACAACAAATAAATAGGTATTCTTTTCTTAGATGACGAGCCAGCTCGAGAATGTCCTCTTTTTCAGGTTGATCACCCATATTAATACAATTAAGGATGTTATTTTTTGACAAAAATTTTAAATGTTTATACAATTTTCATGTTTACAAGTTGGAGGATAGAATCTACAAACTGGTAGTTTCCTTTAGATGGCACTACATGCATATGTAGCATATGTTTACAAATCGAACAGCCAATAAAACTTCACTAAAGAAAATGATTTGTTTTCATTCTTTAATAACAATAACTTAAGAAGCTACTATAATACTTTCATCGTCTGAATTGGTTATTTTACGGTCATTATTTAATGTAGCTATTTTATTAAAATGTGCCTTAATTACTTAAAATTTGTGTGAATGTTTTATTCTCTTTCGCTCTATTTATTCAGTTTTTCTATTAGCTTTTGCGCCTTCATCTAACTTCCTTTTGAAAATGGAACATCGCAATCAACAAGCAAAGGCATTGCGAGATGCAAAAAGAGAATTGGAAGATATTGAAGAACAAATCAATCTGCTTAAAGCAAGAAGGCAAGAGGTGGCTGCTAGGATTGAAAGACTCAAAAATGCTACTGGTCAATCTAATAGTTTCCGAGGAAAAGAATATTATGACAGAGACAATTTTGAATGGAGTAAAAAGCTAATTGAAACTTGTGATAAAGTGTTCCATATCAAAGCATTTAGATCTCTCCAAAGAGCAGCGATCAATGCTACAATGAGTGGTGTTGACTGTCTGCTTATAATGCCCACAGGAGGTGGTAAAAGTCTCACCTTCCAATTGCCAAGTGTAATTAGTTCTGGTTAGTTGAAAATTTAATCATGTCTTTTTTGCTTTTTTTGTAATCAATTTGTTTTTAATTTCTAACTTTTCTTCTTAAAGGTATCACTGTTGTAGTATCTCCGTTGATTGCACTGATGGAAGATCAACAAATGGGCTTACGAGATTTGAATATAGAAACCTCCCTTTTCAATGCTCAAACAACCAAAGAAGAATCTCGAGATATCATGCGAGCAATGGTTGATCCATCTTCTTGTCTCAAATTGATATACGTTACACCTGAAAAACTTGCCAAATCTAAAAGTATCATGTCACAAATGGAAAAAATGTATTCAATGGGAAGATTTTCCAGATTGGTAATAGACGAAGTTCATTGTTGCTCTCAATGGGGTCATGATTTCAGAACAGACTATAAATTCCTTGGTATAATGAAGAATCAATTTCCCGATGTTCCTATTTTAGGATTAACTGCAACTGCGACGCCCGAAGTTGTTATAGACATACAAAAAATACTCAACATTGAAGGATGTTTAGTTTTAAAGGATAGTTTCTATAGACCCAATCTAAAATACGAAATTATTCATTCACATAGTAAAAATGACAGTGCAGCACTCGCTGATGTGATAAAGACAAGATTCAAAGGACAAAGTGGTATAATTTATTGTTTAACCGTTAAAGAAACTGAAGATTTGGCTGAAAAATTGTGTCAAGAAAATTTAAGAGCAAGTGCATACAATGCTCAGATATCTCCTAAATTGAAAAGTAAAATCCACGAGAAATGGTATTCTGGAGTCATTCAAGTGATAGTCGCTACCATCGCCTTCGGGATGGGTATCAATAAGATGGACGTTCGATTTGTTATTCACTATTCTATGTCCAAATCAATAGAAAATTATTATCAAGAAACCGGTCGCGCTGGTCGAGATGGAAAGACTGCTCATTGTATATTATTTTATCGCTTCCAGGACGCTTTCAGAGTTACATCATTGTTCTTCACCGAAAATAATGCCCTTAAAATTATCTACCAAATGATTGGATTTTGCACCGACAGAGAATCTTGTCGTAAGAAGTTGTTAGCTCAATATTTTGGTGACTCTGACTGTCGATGCAATCAAATGTGTGATAACTGTATCAATGGTTTAAGGACTGAAGAGCTTGACGTTACTCAGTATTGTGAAAACATCATAGCTATTCTCAAAGACCCTAAAAATTCAAAGGAGCGATTCACTGCCTTGAAACTGTTAGAGGCATGGACTGGAAAAGGAGCTAAAAAACTACGGGTTGATGGTATACCAAAACCTGCTTTGCCTCGTGAAGTTTGTGAATCAATAATTATTCAATTGTTGATCAATGGTTATTTAAAAGAGGAATTTCATTTCACTTCTTACACTACTTACAGTTATATTGTCCCTGGCTATAAAGCCTCTATGACCAGAAGAGAACCAATAATTGTAAGAATAGTGACAACTGAAAGTCCTGGGTGTGTGAAAAAGAGTCGACCCCGATTGCAAAAGCCTCAAGATGTTGTACAGAATGCATTTACAGTAGAAAGTGACGATTCAGACGCTGAAGAAGTAATCATAGCTTCGGCCAAAAAACGACCAAGAATTTTAGATGACTCGTTCAACGAGCATTCTAATTCTGATAATTCTCTTATTTGCTTAGAATAACAGTATTTATTGAACATCAATAAAGTTTATATTTTAAGAATAATCTCAGCACTTTGTGAGTGCTTAAACAAAATATGTCTTATTTTTCCTTTAAAATGTGTAAATCAAAGCAGCAATATTTAATCTTTACATCAAATACAACAATCAATCTTTGTAATATCTTCTCTTCATAGCTCGATATTTCTTGAGCCTGTATAGTGCTTCGATTTCTTTGATCACATATTCACCTCTTGAAATGCACTTGGCTATTGCAGTTTCATCCTTCAAATCTTTGTTTGCCAGAAAAGCCCGTTTACATCGGTCACGGAAGTAATTAAAACCTTTCGGCCACTCCAAACCCATATAGAGAAGCTATTAAATAACAAAATGTTTAAAGATCGATGAGACAATAAACTTTAAATTGAAAGATTAGAAAACAGATGATACATACCCTTTTATACAGGTCCAAAACTTTATAACGTTGAGACATTTTCAATGATTTCTTTCACAATCCTATAAAAAGATAATTGCAACAAATTCAGAATTGAAAATGGTAACAATTGATTAATAAAAAAATATTATTACCAAGAAAATAACAACTTTTGAATCTAAAGTCCTTTAAAGTTGGAGACTTTTCACTGAATATACAGATAAACAAGAACAGACTATAAATATACAAACTTGTGTCAAATACCTTTCAAGATGAATTAAACTAATAAAGACTACTAAAGAGTCTGGCGAAGAAAGAGCCTTTGTTGTTGTGGTAACCTTAGGTTCCAGCTTTTAATATTGAGTATATCAATTGATGTTTATCAGATTTATTATTGGATTATTATAGAATCAGTTTATACTTATGTTTATGTCTAGTAAATAAAGTCAAACCTCTCAAAATGAAGCTTCGTGTGGATAGCTTTAGAGGCAGTTTTCAAAGCAAAAACTCTGAAAATAGATACATAATGTTGTTAATGTTAATACAATCTCTTTGAAGTGTGAATTAGTGATGGGTGATTTTCGATTTTAGGGCTGATCGATTTTACGATCAAAAACGCATAAAAGGGGATTAAATCTATCGATATTTACTGTAAACAAAACATAGAAATACAGCATTTAAAAGGCATAAAATGTAACAATTTGGTAAAAAATCCCGAACGCATAGTAAATTAAAATTTTTCAGCTTCGTTCTGATTCTTTTTTGATCTATTATATCGCATTTTTATCCTAACTCTTGTCTCCTAAATCCTAATAAATCTTAACTTCAGCGTGAATCTTGAATATCTTACGGCAGCCATGCTCTTTTCCGATTTTATAAATTGATCATCTATCACAAAGTTGGCAAGCGATCATCGATCGGTTACAACACTATTCTGTTGTTTATCATCAAGTCTAAGAATACGCAAGTTTATGCAAATTCCTTTTGTAATTTTCTATTGAAATATAATATTATCAAATAGAACTTAATAAAATAATTTTATAGACTCACTTGATAACGTTATTAAATTTTTATTGATGAAATAATCGGGAGAAGTGTTTTAAGTTGCATCTTATTCTGGTTATTACATCAAACATATAATTATTTGTTTAGTCCTTTTGACCATAAATCGTTTATCTTTTAATCCATCCAAGTTCATCGTTTCAAGCAAACCAACCAATTCTTCAAAATGCTGTAGCCATTTATACCGGTATTTAATTAGGTATTTTGAAAAAGCTATCTGCAAATAGAAAGCAATATCAATTTATTAATTTGTATTAATAACGAAAGAGAATCTTAAGAGTTCATACCTGCACAGCATTGATACCTAGTGCCTCCTCCATCACAAGTTGTACGATTGACACGAGGAGCTGACGTAGAAAGACCTTCTTTTTCCCAGTCTGCAACACAAATCTCTCTTATTTCGCCTAAAGCCCTAATTGTACAGGGATAATTCCGACAACCTGTAATTTGATTACGAGATTGAAAACAAAATTAGTTTGTCGACTATAAGTTTTTATTAAATTTACTTACGGGTTTGAGCTTGAATACAATTATTATCATTTATGAGCACGGAAAAGAACACAAAAGCACTATTAATTTATTAATTTATAATAAAACTGAAACAGAATCTCGAAAGTTCATACCTGTGCAACATCGATAGCGAAAACGTCCTCCATCACAAGGTTCACGTCAGATTCTATTACTACCGTATAGTCTCCTACATTGGTCAAATACTTCTCCAATAGTTCGGCTGTCACAGCCTGTAGTCCGACAAACTGTATTTTGATTAAGAGATTGAGAATCCCCGATGGGCCGAGAATCTTATCAATGAATACAAGCAACAGTTGACTATTGGAACCATCACTGCTCTAATAACTTACCATTGATCAACGACAAACCAACTTTGGAAAAATCTTAAACTTTTTAACTTGTGATTAAACCATCATTTACTCAAGCCTTCATTCTGTAATCAATTGAAATCGTCTTTAAATTGACACAACCGATGGTTGGTAAGTCATATTGATTTTTACATTTAAATAAATTAACAACTTCGCTCGAATTTCTTCTGATTTCCCAATCGCTCAAGATTTTACCTTTTGGTTAAGCTTATTATCTGACAAGGTTGACTTAAAATTGAAATAAGTTAATTTAATATTAATAGCAATTAAAAGAAAAAGGTTAACCACAATGAATTAACAACTGAAGGTTTTTGTGATTATGTGATTGCCTGAGAAATGCTGTAAGATATTACTCCATGATGTTATTGTTTCAAGTAATTCTCAATTCAGGGTAATCCGGAAGCAAATTAATTCGTTCATTTTTGCATGTTTCTTGTGCAAATTATGATTCTTTCATTTTGCTATCCAAGGCAATCAACTAAAAGTTGTAAATTGATATTTGAATTAAGCCGATAACATCCTTGACTAACGATTGTACCTAAGGTCATCCTGAGATTCCTTACAGTTTTTTATCCCTTCAGGATAGTTCAATGAGTGTTTTCTTCCTTTAGCTTCACTTGATATTTAAATATTATTACATCGTTCACTTGCTCAATACAATTGAAAATACAAAAGCATTATTCAGTGAATATTTTGCCATCGATCATTGAAATTGATTAAAAATTCTTGCTTCCAGCTTTTGGCTGATAAATTGAAACTTCTAGTTTCTGCATTTCCTCTGATAATGTGCAAGTGTCTCAGCGGGTGATTACCTCGTTCTAATTCCAACGGTTTCCAATCACTTGTTGCGAATGCAATGAGGAGTGTTTGAATGTTGAATTAACCAGATTAAGCCACACAAATCCACCTTCATCTCTTGAAATAAAATATTGATAATAGCTTCTTAGCACCTTTTCATCCAGTTCAAACTTTCAATACTTCAACAGTTACAATCTCCGAGTGGACAAGTTGTCTTTTAATTGTGTATTTAAAAAATGTGCACATTAAAAGTCAGAGCAACCATCTTTATCCTAATTTCAATGTTCGTAATCCAAGCGTTTTCATCGAGTATGAATATTCATTTGTATAAAAGAAGCTTCAAAAGTGCTTGTGATGTTAAATATGATTCATCCCTTTATGCTCGTTGTGATCGTGTCTGTGAAGACTGCTTGGAAATATACAAAGATGTTGATATACACGCAGGATGCAAGTAAGTTATCGTTTATTCGTGATTTGGTCGACTTTTCTCAATTCAAAGTGTTTACTAAATCTTTACTTTGTTCGTATTTTATCTTCAGATCCAATTGTTTCAATAATTCATTCTTTGTCAAATGTGCGGAGACTGTGTTACCAGAGTCCGATGCCAATAGTCTGATACAAAAGGCGAAGGATCATTCAAAAGTGAAGTAAATTGATGCCGTGAAATGCATTTGGTGCATCGATAAAGACAGTTTTTGTCTCTACTTGCTTTCAAACTTACACTTTGGCGAGCTTCATATCAAAAGTTGATTTTTTGTTGTTTAATCGACAACATCCAATATATTATTCAATATCCAGACTTCTTATAATCTCACCACCATTGATATCATTTAATTTATTTCATGTTCATCTTAATAAAAATCAAAATCAAATGTGGTTACAATCAAAGTTTTCATACTGACAGTTTCACTTAATCATTCGACGTAATAAACTTATTTTACTGATGTAACTTTTTATGATTAACCAGAAAAGCGCACTTTGTTAAATGAAATAAAATTTACCAGATCAACCAGAAAATGTACTTAGTTTGAGAAATAACATTTTCGATTTTCTGTAAATCAAATATGTTCGATTTTAAGTTAAACCGATCGTTTTCTGTAACCGCGTTATTGGGAGACTGAAACTTATTATTTGAGCATAAAAATTAATTATACAAATCATAGAGAAAATACTTTTTTCAATTTACTGATATTTCTCTTGATTTTAGCCATTAACCCAAAAACTTTGAACCTCGATATTTCGAGAGTGGTGACATCTACAAGCATCATTCATTGACTAATTTGATTCTTTACTAATTGCTAATGCAATGCGATTTGAAAACTTTTCATTTCCGCATTTGGGTCGTGATATTGGGCTTTTAAATGTATAAGTAACAACTTATTTAACAAAGTAAACTCACAAAAACACATATCTTGGTAAATAAACCAATTTTCTGGTTAAAGTTGAAAATGAAATTGAAAGAGGGCTGTCAAAAGCTCGACTATTTGAAGCAAGAGTTGAGACTTGGTGAGTTTGTAGGGATATAAAAACTGAATCGGTTAATGCGTTTTAAAAATTTCTCTGATCAATAGTTCTCGAGAAAATCGAGTTCAAATTTGAAACTTAGATCGCCTTTTGTACAGTCATGGAAACAGATTTTTTCGTGGTACTCATATCTCTGACTTTACTTTCAATGATCAACCAGAAAATGTACTTAGTTTGAGAAATAACTTTTTCTGTTTCTTGTAAAACCCATAAGTTCGATTTTCAATCAAACCGATCGTTTTCCGTGACAGTTATATTTGGAGTGCTGAAACTTATTATTTGTGCATAAAAATGAATGCTACTCACTAAGGATTTAATATGATTTTTAATTTACTTCGATATTAGCCATTTATTCCAGAAGCGATATGTCGATACGAGCTTCGATATTTCGAGAATGGCATCACCTACAAGCATCATTCATTCACCAAACGCTAGATTTTATAATGGATAATAATTTATTCTACAAAATTTTATTCTTCTGTATTCTAATAAAAAACTTAGAGCATTTTTTCACTTGTGTTGTCAGATTTGAGTTGATTTATAAAGTCAAATGGTTATTCAAGTTGAAATCTTATGTGTTAGAAGAATATTCATTATTGCAAAAATCTTTCAAATTTTATTCTGAATTCATTAATAGCATATTAAAGTCCATAATGCAATCTGATGTTTGATCAAAAAATGCTGGTTTTAGATTTCATAATTCTCGAATTATTGAGGTTCAAACTTTTAATGCCAATGGCCAAAAACCAAGAGAACTGATGATAAATTGAAAAAAGTATTTAATTCATGATTTGTAGCAACAATTTTTATGTACCAATAATAAGTTTCAGTTCTCTAACTAATTCAGTCACAGAAATCGGACAGTTTGATTGAAAATCGAACTTATGGCTTTCACAGAAAACAGGAAGAGTTATTTCACAAATCAAGTAAATTTTCTTGATGATCATCAAGCGCTATTTCAATGAAATGAGTTGCACAAAAAAATCTGCTTCCATGATTGTACAAATGGCGATCGAAGTTTCAAATTCGACTTCGAATTTCTCGAGAACTATTGATCAGAGAAACTTTTAACTCGCATAAATAGATTCAGTTTTTATATCCCTACAAACTTACCAAGTCTCAATTCTTGCTTCAAATAGTCGAGCTTTTGACAGCCCTCTTTCAATTTCATTTTCAACTTTAACCAGAAAATTGGTTTATTTACCAAGATATGTGTTTTTGTGAGTTTACTTTGTTAAATAAGTTGTTACTTATACATTTACAAGCCCAATATCACGAACCGAATGTGGAAATGAAAAATTTTTAAATTGCATTGTATCAGCATTTAGTAAAGAATTAAATTAGTGAATGAATGATGCTTGTAGATATCACCATTCTCGAAATATCGAGGTTCAAAGTTTTTGGGTTAATGGCCAAAATCAAGAGATATATCAATAAATTGAAAAAAGTATTTTCTCTATGATTTTTACCATTAGTTTTAGTGCACAAATAATAAGTTTCAGCACTCCAAATATAACTGTCACGGAAAACGATCGGTTTGATTGAAAATCGAACTTATGGGTTTTACAAGAAACAGAGAAAGTTATTTCTCAAACAAAGTACATTTTCTGGTTGATCATTGAAAGTAAAGTCAGAGATATGAGTACCACGAAAAAATCTGCTTCCATAATTGTACAAAAGGCGATCTAAGTTTCAAATTTGAACTCGATTTTCTCGAGAACTATTGATCAGACAAGTTTGCAAATCACGTTAATGAACTCAGTTTTTATTTCTCTACAAAATATCAGAGTCGGAATTTGAACTAAATTCATTTTTGTTCATTTTTCGTCCGTTTGTCTTTCAGCATTTTTGCATGTGTAAAATTGTGTTGATTGTCTCTTGCAACCGAGATAGATTTACTTGAATACTCATAGCTAATTGTTTTCATTTGATTAGTCGATTCGATATGTTCTAGGAGAATCATGTTTAGAATCTCCTGCTTAAAAACAATTAAATATCATAAAAAGTTCACTAGCGAAGCGAAACCAGAATTCATGTCTAATTATTCTTCACTCTCTATAATATAAGCCGCTAAAAATCTCACCATGTCGGGTACTTCCCTAGTCAATAAAATTTAATTCAAGCTCAGCTACATTATTAGAATGTTTGAGTCAATGCATATTTAGAGTATCCTTAACAGTTGTAACTATCAGATCAATCATCCGTTATTAAATGAATTAAAACAGTTTTATTACAAATGTCAATCATACTATATTATAGTCATAGTAGATCTAGTGTTTGGTGAATGAATTATGCTTGTAGGTGATGCCATTCTCGAAATATCGAAGCTCAAAGTTTCTGGATTAAATGGAGAATAAATATCCAGAGAACTATTAGTAAATTAAAAAATTACATTAAATCTTTAGTGAGTAGTATTCATTTTTATGCACAAATAATAAGTTTCAGTCCTCCAAACATAACGGCCACAGAAAACGATTGGTTTAACTTAAAATCGAACTTTTGGGTTTTACAGAAACACAAAATTTTATTTCTAAAAGTAAATGCATCATAAAAAGCTACATCAGTAAAATAATTTTTATGAAAAAATCTGCTTCCAAAAGGCGATCAAAGTTTCAACTCTGAGCTCCATTATAATGAATTAAGTAATACAGAAATAGATGTTCAAAGTTTTATTTAGATTAGTTTTTCTTGGAAAACGAGTTAAATGAGAAATCGATGATAATTTCATCTATTCAATTCAGTTAATTAGCCGCGAGTTCTCAAATAAAGTCTCATGCCACTAAACAAAACTCTAACTTCTTCAGATTCAAAGTCTAATCGCATATATCGAGTAATACAAGGAGAATAGAAATATTGTGAAACATTGAATTGTTTACAAATCTCTCTCATCAAAATCACTTCCCTTCGATCGTCTTCGCCATGAGGCGTGAGAAGAGACGCAATTTTTGCATTCAATTGATCGTTATTGATTATATCCTTTAACTTGTTGAAAAAGGTTTTTGTATTTCTATGTCGACATAAATGAATGCAGCATTCTCCTTCTGGAACTAAATTTTCAGGTACTAGGGTATACGAAATTTGAGTATGATTCCTCCAGTGATAAAAACCAGCCCGATACTCGAGATGAAAACGTCCGTCAGCAATTCTAATTATATCACAGATGGTCTCCTTACGGGAGTCTGAGCGGCTATGAAAGAATTGAAAAGTAGTCAATGTAGATTAATCTGTTTCGATTAATGATATAAATGATAGATTACTTCATATTTTTGTTAATGTTATGAAATATCAAACCTCCATTTAGGTTATTATACAGATGGATTTCATTGTAAAATTGTCTCGGTATTCCAGTTATCGGTTCAAGCTATAAATGAGATTGGAATAAGTTATTGCTGTATGATTAAATGATGAACTTAACTCACCAGTTCGAATAATTGTGTCTCTTTGCATTCATAATTATCATCATTCCAATCAATGACTATGTCATGATATTCGCCTAAAAATTCTAGTTGCAATGTAGCTAAACGAAAGTATCAATATTGCATGGATTATTTCATTTGTATTACAATAAAATGCACTTACATTTATCATTCTGTTCCTCCATTTTAACACAAAAATAATATCAATGTATAAATAACACTTGGAAGAACAAGTTATTTCAACTGAAAACTAAAGTAAACTGACAAAATTCAAAAAAATTGGTTCCCAACAAAGAACTAGATTATTGGGCCAAAAAATTTTGGACTCAGGCAAAAGCGCTCTTTACAAAGAAAACTGGAAAAATTAAATTTCTTGATATTGAATGCAAAGTTTCAACTTTGACCTCCATTTCTCGAAAACTGTCCATCGGATGAATTATTTAAAAGCACCAATGAACTAAGTTTTAATGTTCCTACAAACCCATGAAGTCTAAATATGAAGAAATTAATTTTTACCTGTTTTTGCCCATTTGTATCAATTTGTGCATAAATGTTATAGTTGTGTTAATTGTATCTTTTAGTATCAACCGAAAATAAAGTATTTAAGTCTAAACTCGATAAGTTTGTATGCATTTGTGTTGAAGTATAAAACTGATTCCATAATAACACAGTACAATAATAATGTAGAATGATAAACATCAATTGATAAACTAAACTCAACGTTATACAAAAAGAAGCCGGAACCTAAAGTTACCATAACAACAAAGGCTCTTTCCTGGTTAGACTCTTAATTAATTTAATTTATTATATCTTGAAAGTTATTCTGCCATAGGTTTGTATAACAAATCATAAATAAAGCCGTTTAATTTTTCTCTTAAAAATTTTAAGACATGGACTTGAAATAAGCAACACTCCATCAGAATTTGGAAAAGCTGCATTTTTTTACTTCTATTCCATTCTACATTTTTACCTGACGATTTCTCGATAGTTAGATAGAAACCCTTTTAGCTTTTTATTTAATTCACTTCTGTCTAAAATTCCAGTCTAAATATGAGTCAGCTAAGGGATTTACATGTATTGTACAATCAAATAAGGACTTTTAAGAGTCTGTGATAAAAGTCAGAACCAGTTTTACTGGTGAGCCTCTCAGGATCAATCAACTCTACTTTGTCTTTGAAGCGTAGAAAAAAATGCCACATACATTAAATTAACAGACAATGGTTTGGTCGCGTTCTGTTAAAAGCAGGAACATGATTGGCAAGTTTATATCAATATTACACGTTTTTGAAAAAAGGAAATGACAGCGGATTGTGTGAACTAATTCGAATTTTATTTGATAAAAATATTGATAGAAAATGATAATTTAGAGCTCTTCTTTCTTTTTCTTTCCATCACGAGTGTAACCAGTTAACTCGTCAGTTGCATGTTTAGCAATGAATGAGATGAAATCATCCAACTCGCGTCCTCCGTTGTATTTTTCGGGGACTTTGGTGCCCTTTGGATACCAATAGATTGTTGGGAAACCGTGAACTTCAAATGTTGAAGGAACGTCATTGGCAGTAGCATCCATTTTGACAATTTCAACACCGGACTCATCTTTCAATGCCTTACCGAGATCTTCAAAGGTTGGAGCAAGTTTCTTACAATGACCACACCATGGAGCATAAAATTCAACTAAAACGTCCTTTTCACTTTTGGTGACTAATTCGTCGAAGTTCTTACCCACAGCGACTTTTACTGGACCTGAGTTATCTTCAGGGATCTCCTCTGATTTAAGGTAAGGTTGAAGTTTACCACTGGTAAAATCTTTGACGAATGCTTCTAAGTTTTCAATTGAGAATTTCTCCTTTTGAATGTACTTTTTACCTTCAGCGTCACGAGCAGCAACGACTGGTGCAGCTTCACGGCCAGATCGATCAGGTTCCAAACCGAATTCTTCCATTTCACCAGCAAATTGGTTGGAGTTGGCAATTGCAAATTTAATTTTTGGATAGTTTTGAGCAACTTTGAGAACTCGGTTACGCCAGTAGTTAGTACCTTTAGGATTCTTAACATAGTCGACATCGTAGTAGACAACAACGAGTGGTGGCTTGAAATCTTGCATGTTGGATTGAGTTCGGTGACCAACTAAGCCATGATAGTTAGAGTTAATCCAATTTTCAAGTGATCCGCTCTCATCCCACACAACTGATGACTCTTCAAATTTGTTGCTAAGGGTTGAGGGACGAACAAGGACAACAGCCGGAGCGGAAACTTTGCTAGCTGACAATACTGAAAGAGCTGAAATATCATCGGAGGCAGAGCTACTATAAATGTGACCGAAATTGATTGATTCTCGCATTCTATCAGCATTTTTGTGGAACTTAGTAGCTAAAGCGTCTGATTCTTTGTTGAAGATTCCAACTACAAATACTTCCTTAGCTGCCTTCAATTTATCATTCAAAGAGCTGAATGAAGTATATGCTTTAGAAGCAGGTCCAACTTGGCTTCTCATATACTTGACAATTCCATCAGCCTCTCGGGGACCATTGTATTCAGAAGCGAATTCTCCGCCTTTGAAAATTTTCAGAGTTGGGTAACCTGAAACACCGAAGGTAGAACAAATTTCTTTACCATTGTCTGAGGTACAGTCAACCTTAGCCAAAGGAACTGGTGGATCGTTAGCAAGAAGAGCTGTGGCAGCTTTGGCGTATTCAGGTGCCAGTCTTTTACAATGTCCACACCATGGAGCAAAAAATTCAATTAAAACAGTGTCATATTTAGCAACTTCAGCCTTGAAACCATCTAAGTCATTGTTTGAAAGATCAAGCACATCTTCACCGGCAACAGCTAACCAGAGAAAACTTAAAATAAATACAGAGAACAAATGTCGTGACATGTTCATAAAATGTTTTAGATAGAGACAACGTTAAATTTTAAACACTAAAACCAATGAATAATTATTAATTATAAATAACTAATATAAATACAAAGAACAAGTATGAATGAAATGAATTTAAACTTGATTGTCGCTTGGACTTCACTTTAAATGACGTGTTTTAAGCTCAGGTACAGTTATAGGAGCTGCCATCTACAGATGTTGATAATAACAAAAAATATTTATTTTCTGTTCAAATTGGAAATTTAAAATTACGCAAAGATCTCATAACATCTTGTATCTTGCAATCAGAATAATTTAATAAGGCATCATTTCAATTAAACCCAATCAAAAGCATCATCTTGATATGTTCCATTTACTCTTGGGTATTAAAAATAATAACTGCCTGTAGTGGCTCACCTATTTAAAGCAATCACAGTCTTAATTTTTATTTATTTCAATTTTTACATTTGTCCAATCATCTAAATGAAAAATAAGAAAAATCTAAATGATAGTGAAAAATATAGCGAATATTCGTTATCTTTACAAATTATTTATACAGTCGCTTTAATTTTTCAACTAAAAAAAGTTGGTTTAACAATTTTTTGAGTTGTTTTCGTGTTTCAAACTCAAGATAAATTGTAAAAAATGCATCTGCAACTTTATCTCATTTGGTTTGTTTGTTACATGAAAGCCAGGAACTCCAGCTCTTTCGAGAGTCACTTGTTGATCACTAACGATTTGATCTAATTCCATTATCAATTGCATATCGAGTTTTCTCATTTCTTCTTCGATTTGTGCATCAAAAGCATCTTCAGCATCTCTAACTTGATCCATTGTCATTGCTCCGGTTGCTATATATTCTTTGTGCTTCTTGTGAAGTGCAATTTTTTTAGCCTTAAGCGCTTCAGATGTTTTCATACGCTTTTGAAACAAATTTTTTTCGGTTAATTGTTGGATATCTTGCAAGCCATTAACAATTTGAAATACTGTATCGTCGAGTAGACAGCTGGCTAGGCTGGATAAAAGCTCGTGTGAGATTCTTTGTTGATATTCCCTGTGATTAGAAAAGAGAACAATATCAGTTATAATGATCACAATAATTTATAAAATTGAATATTACATTGGTAATTCACTTGACATTGTCTGTAATTCGTTTAGCAACTTATAATGTTTTAGTTGTAATTGTCTTTTGATCAAGTCATTGTCAGGGTTATCATTACCACTAGAGTCAATTTCCGTACTGTAACTGCTGATGGTAGCCATGTTCCAATTGAAATAATCACAATCCAATTAATTGGTCGTTTAGCGTAAATTGAGTATTAAAATTAAATAAAAAACAATACTGAATGTGATAGACTCTCAAGATGTCAAACCAGAGCATATGTTTTCAGCTGTATGAATCATACTGTATGATTTCAAAGAGTCTCAAGTGCTGCCGTCTGTAGCTTACCAATTTTATTATATTTACAAGTTCGAGATCAGTTTTAATCAGAAAATTGACAAACAGTAAACGATATTGTGTCGAAACCTTTCATAAAGTCGAACAATCACGATAATCTATGTTTGTTTAAGTCCTTTTTGTCCAGTTAAAACTGGTACACAGTCGAACTGGTCCAGTCTAACATGATAAATCTAAACTAATGTTTTGTGTTTCGACTGAGACCTTTCGAGTCAACAGTTTTGATAGGTTTATAAAATACAATATCACATTCCGCCAACTTTTGGACAGGGAAATAATTAAACGCATTAGAAATAAATTATTACAAAGGTTTTTACTGAAAATAATCGATGAAATTAAACAAATAATAAAAATACACTTCCAGCGCAATTGGATTCAGCGACTTAGTTTGAATAGCCAAAATGCTAGTTCCACGATGATTCAGTTTTAATATCTATTAATAGTTACAACTTTTTTAAACTTTGCACGAACTCTTAAAACTCAAGTATCGCATTATTTTGGTTGTTATTAAAAAGACGTTTATGCACAAATGCTGGAAGAAAAATGTGCGAAAACGGGTAAAAATGAAATTTATTTCAAATTAAGACTCTATTAGTTTGTAGAGAAATGCAAACTGACAAACTGTGAGTCCATTTGAGTGATTTAAAGATTTCTCTGATCAATACTTCTCGAGAAAACGAAGTGCAAAGCGAAACTTCGATCGCCTTTTGTACAATTATGGAAGACCGTATTGCTTAGTAACATTAAATCAATTATAACATACTAGACAGGTAATTGTTTGATTCTCATTTCCTTTTCTCAATACTGAATCCTCAACCTCAACAATACTGGATTCGATTGCAAACCATTCGCATTTTGATTGATATGATAGCTGCTAAATTTCCCTCCTGAATAATATGCTAGTCGAACAACAGTTTACTGTTTATCTGTTCTTTAGGAGGGATCAACTATCTATTCAGATGGATGCAGAGCTTATTAAAATTAAATATTCCATTGAGCCAGTAACCATGAGATGATTATAGCTTGATATAGTTGATGCCTTGGTGACAGGTCTTGTTAATTATCTGGTAATCATTTTCACAAATAATTCAACAAGTATTTACAAATTAGCATTGAATCAAGTCTATCAGATAATTTTTCAGAAATAAAAAACATCCAGACCCAATAACTTAAGACCTTCAGAAACTTTGAGAGCCTTTGTCACCTTTTTTGAATCGAAATTTGATAAAAATTTCAGTCCATGAGAAATTCATAAAACAAAACTGTACAATTAGATATTACACATCTTACTTCACTTCTGTGATTCTTGGCATTGATCATTTTATACGAAATATTATGTAAAAGAAAAACACCTGAGCATCAATTCAATAGACATTTATAAAACAGTTCTATTTGATTGACTTGTTTAAGATCCTGTTTGAACACATTTACATTGTTTCATTTTAATTTGATTGGCAATGTAAGTCAATTTAGATTGACCCAAAAGAGAATATGTTTTACTTCGATCTTTCTCTTTCTCTTTCTTTAATTTTTATAATAAGTATATAAAGAGATTGATTTTCAATAAACTTATGACTTTGATTCCATAAAGATCACCAACTCTACTTGATCAACTATACAAATATTTATATCTTTCGAGTGAAAGCAAATACTTTGAAATTCTGGTTCAGAATGCTCGTCTAACTATTTCTTTTAAGTTTTGTGTTCTTTTTCATGCTCATAAATGATAATCATTGTGTTCAAGCTCAACGTGAAATTTTGAGATGTAAATTTTAATGATAACCAACAGACCACAACTCAACTAATTTTCAATTTTTTCTCACTCTCTTAATCAAATACAGTTTGTCGGACTACAGGCTGTGACAACCGAACTCCTCGACAAGTACTTGACCAATGTAGTAGGGAATACGGTAGTAATAGAATCCGATCTGCATCTTCTTGTGGTGGAGGACTTTTTCGCTATGAATGCTGTACAAGTATGAACTTTTGATATTCTATTTCAGAATTAATATAAGTTAATAAATTGATATTGCTTTTGTGTTCTTTGCCGTGCTCATAAATGATAATCATTCAGTTAACGTTCAACCTCGTAAGTAAATTTTAATGGAAACTTATCTTGTTTCAATCTCGTAATCAAATTATAGGATGTCTGGATGTACCCTGTACAAATCGAGCTATCGGCGAAATAGCACGAGTCTGTCGTAATGAATGGTCTAAAGAACGATTCCGACGGTTAAGATTCAGAATCTTTACGCGAAATTGTGTTGGAGGAGGTACTAGATATAATTGCTGTCTAGGTATGAACTCTCGAGATTCTGTTCCGTTATTAATACAAATAAATAAATTAATATTGCTTTATATTTTCAGTCGACTGAGACTTTCCAAAAAATGGCTACAGCATTCGAAAGAATTGGTTGGTTTGCTTTAACCCATGAACTTGGATGGATTAAAAGATAAACGATTTATGGTCAAAAGGACGAAACAAATAATTATATGTTTGATGTAATAAACAAAATAAGATGCAACTTAAAACACTTCTTGCGATTATTTCATCAATAAAAATTTAATAGCATTATATCAAGCTAGTCTATCAAATTATTTCATTAATTTCTATTTGATAATATAGAGCAATGAACGAAAACAAGACTATTTGCAACTCGATTCCGTAAACGATAGCAAAAACAAATCGAATAATTTTTCCACCAAAAAAGATCGAAGTCATGATCAGCAGTATCAAATTTTGCTCTACTATTAAAAGAGGTGATAAATAAAAAATGAGACAAAATTCAAACTCTAATATATGATTAATTTTTAAATTTAATTTGTCAAATTTAATTCAAACTAGCCCACATCTTTGATTCCAAGCCTATTTATTGAGTTTTTAAAATACGTGTAAATTTTACGCAGTAAATTTATAGCATAGAATAAAAATGGCCCCGGCTTTAAATCCTTTTTATTAACGAATCAATTTTAATTAAACATTTTTACTGAGTGCAAATAAAACAGAATCATATTTGCAATAATCTGAGTGAATTTCAATTATTTTGATTGAATTTTTTACCTGAAAAAGTGACTTCAACGATAAATTGCGATCTCTAGTCGAATTAGTTGCCAAATGATTTCATCTATTAGATTGAGCTGATTTTTTGTCAAAATAATGCTTGATATAGTTGATGCCTTGGCGACAGATCTTGTAAATTATCTGGTGACCTCCTTCACAAATAATTTAACAAGTAACAAATGAGTTTTACATCAAGTTTACCAAATTTTTTTTGTAAAATTTTTTGATAATTTTTCAGAATCAAAAATCATTTAGACTTATTAACTCAAGACCTTCAGCGACTTTGAGAGCAATGTCACCTTTTTAATCGAAATTTGATAACACTTTGCAACAAAACTATACAATTAGATATTAGAAATCGAACTTCACTTCTCTGAATTCTTGGCATTGATCATTTTACGAAATAATATGCAAGAGAAAGGCACCTGGGCATCAATTAAATAGACATTTATGCAACAATGCTTCCTAATCACTATTTGATTTTTTGATTTGATCTGTCTTGTTTAAGATCCTGTTTGAACACATTTACATTGTTTCAATTTAACTTGATTGGCAATGTATGTCAGTTTAGATTGATTTAACACAAAATATGGAAATGATGAAATGAAAAATAAAATAAAATTTTTATTTGTCATCATTTGAGGTATTAATTAGTTACGAAATATTCAAAACAAATGAAGTTAATCGTTAATGGGTTCATGGGATAAATCTTTAAGGGTCCAAGATTCAAAAATGACCCTAAACTTTTTGACCCGACACAACCTTTGATACCAAACCCCCACTAATAATATTTACCAATTTCCCTGTATGCCAGTGGAAAAAAGATATAAAAATAGAAATGAAATTGAACAGCAATTTCAATAGAAGATCTAACAATTTTTGTCCAAAAGAATTGTGTTGCTGATAATTTATGAATTATAAGATCATTTAGTTTTATTGTTTGTAACTGAATGAAAATAATTGAGCTGATGCGTGTTATATGAAAACTGTATTGCTTAGTAACATTAAATCGATACGAGGTATTACACATTGTACTTCACTTTTCTGAATTCTTGGCATTGATTATTTTACGAAATATTGTGCACGAGAAAGGCACCTGAGCATCGATTCAATAGACATGCATAAAACAGTTATTTCTGATCACTACTTGATTGACTTGTTTAAGATCCTGTTTGAACACATTTACATTGTTTCATTTTAATTTGATTGACAATGTTCGTCAATTTAGATTGGCTTAAACCAAAATATGTTTTACTTCGATCGGTTTCTTCCTCTTTCATTAATTTTCATGATATAAGTATATAAAGAGACTGATTTTCAATAAAATTATGCCTTTGATTCCATAAAGATTACCAACTTTACTTGATCAACTATACAAATATTCATAACTTTCGATTGAAAGCAATTACTTTGAAATTCTGGTTCAGAATGCTCGTCAAACTATTTCTTTTAAGTTTTGTGTTCTTTTCCATGCTCATAGATGATAATCATTCAGTTCAAGCTCAAAATGAAGTTTTGAGATGTAAGTTTTACTGATAACTTACAACCGGCAACTCAACTAATTTTCAATTTTTTTCTCACTCTCTTAATCAAAATACAGTTTGCCGGACTACAGGCTGTGACACCCGAACTCTTCAAGAAGTATTTGACCAATGTAGAAGAGTATACGGTAGTAATACAATCCGACGTGAACAATGTGATGGAGGACGTTTTCGCCATACATGCTGTACAAGTAAGAACTTTTGATATTCTATTTCAGTATTAATATAAGTTAATAAATTCATATTGCTTTTGTTTTCTTTTTCGTGCTCATAAATGATAATTATTGTGATCAAGGACAACCTCGTAAGTAAATTTTAATGAAAACTTACAATAGCTGACAAACTAATTTTGCTTTCAATCTCGTAATCAAATTACAGGCTGTCTAGATTTTCCCTGTACAAGATCTGGGCAAGCTATCGGCGAAATAACAAGGATTTGTCGTCAAGAATTCGGTGAACAACCTCTCAGAATCACGGGACGAACTTGTGGTCAATCACGCACTCAATATCGATGCTGTACAAGTATGAATTTTTGAAATTCTGTTTTGTTACGAATTAAATACAAATTAATAAATTGATATTGCTTTCTATTTTCAGGGCCCTGATCCTTTCCAAAAAATGGCTACAGCATTTGGAAGAATTGGTTGGTTTGCTTGAAACGATGAACTTGGATGGACTAAAAGATAAATGATTTATGGTCAATAGGATTAAACAAATAATTATATGTTTGATGTAATAACCAGAATAAGATGCATCTTAAAACACTTCTCCCGATTATTTCATCAATAAAAATTTAATAGCATTATATCAAACTAGTCTATCAAATTATTTCATTAAGTTTTATTCGATAATATTATATTTTAATAGAAAATTACATAAGGAATTTGCATAAACTTGCGTCTTCTTAGACTTGATGATAGACAACAGAACTCATTAAGACGGTTACAAATAACCAGCCAGTTTTTGCTTATCAGAATCAGCCGAAGATAAAAGACCAATAAAACAGAATAAAGTTGACAGACAGACGGCTGAAAAAATAATAGTGATAACGTAATAAACGCGTAAAACTTGCTTCCATTCTTGATTAATGCTCAGACCAATAATCTAGTGGGTGATAGAGCAATGAACAAAATCAAGTCTATTTCAAACTCGGCCCATAAACGATAACAGAAACAAATCGAATTTTGAGTAGCCAAAATGCTAGTCCCACGATGATTCAGTTTCTATATCTAGTAACAACTTTTTTACACTTTGCACGAACTCTTAAAACTCAAGTATCGCATTATTTTGGTTGTTACTAAAAAGACGTTTATGCACAAATGCTGAAAGAAAAATGTGCGAAAAAGGGTAAAAATGAAATTTCTTTCAAATTAAGACTACTAGTTTGTAGAGACTTGCAAACTGAGTCCATTTGAAGAGTTCTCTGATCAATACTTCACGCAAAAAGAAAGTTCAAATTTGAGACTTCGATCGCCTTTTGTATTATGGAATACAATTATGTAAGCAGATTTTTTCATAAGACTCATATTTCTGTTGTAAATTTTGATGGGTAGCCAGAAAATGTATTAATAATAAGTAATATTAGTGATACTTATTCTGAATAATAAAACTTTCTTTTTCCAAAAAACAGATCGATTTTCAATTAAACTTACCGTATTCTGTGGCCGTAAGTATTAGAGAGCTAAAACTTATTTGCCCATAAAATTTGTTGGTACACATCTACACGGTGCTCAAATGGGTTTTTAAACTTTGAAGTTCTATAACTTTTTTAATTCAACTATTTTTTGAAAATTTTTTTGACTGATAATTTCTTAGGTAAAAAGGATTAAAAAATCGTTAATTAATCATAAAAATCTATATCTTGGTAAATAAACCAATTTTCTGGTTAAGCTTACAAATGAAATGCAAAAAGTTCTACCAAAGTCTCGAACATTTGAGATAAGAGTTAAGACTTAGCGGAGTTGGTAGGGGAATGAAAACTGAGTCCATTAGTAACCTATGCAGCGAAATTCTTGGACAACTCGTTCCAGACCATTTAATTAACGAACGGCTAAAGGTACATACTTAAATTTGGTAACAATGAGTAGCTACAGATCAGAGCTTCAAGATGATATAAATCAAGCTATAATCCAAGATTGAATTCAGGATCATTTAGGACTTTTCATGTAGCTCGAAAATATGGGGGGGTCTAACTTTTTTGGCATAATTTTTGTCTTATTTTTGATCCTATTAATTAGTGCGTTATAATTTCGAGCTGCAAAGTCATCAGCATAAACTTGAGGTTTCATATTAATATAAAATGCTTAAATATACCAGATTTTAGGAATCGTAAGCGGATTAGAGGACATTTAAATAAGCTATTAATTTAGAGTTAAGGATTTTCGAAAAAATACAGAGACGCGCGAATTTCAAAACAGCCGAATAAACACTTAACTACTTCTTGCAAAATTTTCAAATTTCTACTGGACATTAATCATGATAAGATGTATAATTGCTGAAAATTTCAGTCGTTTATCTCCTTTAGTTCCTGAAAAAATCTTGATCTTATCTGTCCAAGAATTTCGCTGCATAGGTTAGTATTAAATAATTTGTTCTATGAACAGTTTTCGAGCAAAGTGCGGTCAAGTTAAAACTTCGATTACCTTTTGTTCATCAATGGAAAAAGATTTTTTCATGAAACTTATTTTACTCATGTTTCTATTGATTAACAATCTGAAAATGGTCTGATTTTGAGAAATGCATTTTCTGTTTCTGTAAAACAGATCAAATTCAATCCCCAGTTATACCGGCTGCATTCAGTAACCTTAAGAGTTAGCCTAACCTAACCTAACCTTACCACTTGTCCATAAAAATAGAGTCTACACATCATGGAAAAAATACTTTTTTAAATCTATCGACAGTTTGCTTGATTTTGGCCATTAACCCAAAAACTTTGAGCCTCGATATCTCGATATTTCTCAGATTGAGTACATTTACTGGTTGATCATCGAAAGTTACATTGCTAAAAAAAGTCTAGTTGAAAAATCTGCTTCCATTGATGAACAAAAAGCAATAGAAGTTTTAACTTTGACCTCACTTTGCTCGAAAACTGTTCATTAAATGAATGATTGAATATGACCAATGAACTCAGTTTTCATTCCCCTACAAACTCCGCTAAGTCTCAACTCTTAATTTAAATTTTCGAGCCTTGGCCAGTATTCTTTGCATTACATTTGTAAGCTTAACCAGAAAATTGGTTTATTTACCTAGATACGTGTTAAAATGAGTTTAGTTTGTTGAAAAAGTTGTTTGCCGCACATTTAACACGCAAGCATCATGACCCAAACGCGCTAATGAAAGTAATTAAATTGCATTGAATTAAAAATTAGTGAAGGACTAAATTGTTGAAAGAATGATGACTGCGTTCTCGAAATATTGAAACAGATAGTTTTTGGGTTAATGTTCAATATCAGGAGAACTGTTGTTGAATTGCTAAAATTATTCGATCCATGATGTGAACCGACAATTTTCATGGTCATTTAATAAGTTTCAGATTGCTAACTCTTACGGTCACAGAATGCTGTCGGCTTAACTAAAAATCGAATTAATATGGTTTGCAGAAACACAAAATTTTATTTCTAAAATTGCATTCTCTGGTGCATCATAAGTTACATCCGTAAAATAAGTTTTATGCAAAAATTTGCTTCCATGATTGAACTAAAGGCGATCAAAGTTTCAACTTTGAGCTCCATTATAATGAATGAAGTAATACAGAAATAGATGTTCAAAGTTTTATTCAGATTAGTTTTTCTTGGAAAAGAAGTTAAATGAGAGAAATCGATGAAAGGTTCATTCATTTAATTCAGCTAATTAGCCGCGAGTTCTCAAATAAAGTTTCGTCTCACCAAACTCAATTCTAACTGCTTTTGAATCAAAGTCATATTGCCTATATTGAACAGTACAAAGAGATTTGAAATATTGTATAACATTGAATTTTTTAAAAATCTCTGTCACTTCCCTTTTATGCGTTAGGTATCCGACATTAGGCGTGAGAAGAGACGCAATTTTTACATTCAATTGATCGTTATTGATTATATCCTTTATCTTGTTGAAGAAGGTTTTAGTATTTTTATGTCGACAAGAATGAATGCAGCATTCTCCTTCTGGAACTAAACTTTTAGGTACTAGGGTATAAAAAATATAAGTCTGATTAAACCCAGGATTGAAATCAGCCCAATAAGTGAGATGAAAACGTCCTTCAGAATTTCTAATGTAATCACAGGTGGCTGCGGAAACTACGGAGTTATGGGCATCTGAACGGCTATGAAAGAATTGAAAATTAGTCAATGTAGATAAATCTGTTTCGATTAATGATAGAAATGACCGATTACCTCGCATTTTTTGTAGTGTAATGATATGCAAAACCTTCATTTCGGTTATTATACAGTCGAATGCCAATGTTATATTGTCTCGGTATTCCGGTTATCGGTTCAAGCTATAAATGAGATCAGAATAAGTTATTGTTGTATGGTTAAATGATTAACTTAACTCACCAGTTCGAGTAATTGTGTTTCTTTGTATTTATATTTACCATCATTCCAATCAATGACTATGTCATGATATTCACCTAAAAATTCTAGTTGAAATGTAGCTAAACGAATATTGAAAGTAATATTGAGTAAATTTTTTCATTTGTATTACAGTAAAATGAACTTACATTTATCATTCTGTTCCTCCATTTTAACACAAAAATAATATCAATGTATAAATGTTACTTGGAAGAACAAGTTATTTCAACTGAAAACAAAAGTAAACTGAAAAAATTCAAAAAAATTGGTTCCTTACAAAGAACTTGATTATTGGGCCAAAAAAAGTTTGGACTCAGGCAAAAGCGCTCTTTTCAAAGAAAACTGGAAAAATTAAATTTCTTGATATTGCATACAATTGTACCAATGAATGCAAATAAAAGTTCTGGCCTTGTTTCTATAGTAATAAGTTTTCGGTTGCTCATTATTCAGCATTTGCTTGAGATGATCAATTCTCTGATTTGTTATTCCAAAATAGAACAAAGTGTGTCACTGAGATCTCGAATCGAAAAACATTTTGTTAAATGATACAAGGCATTTCAGATGTTTTTACAAACGTATAATTTAACAAATATCGGAAGCTATTATAGTTTTATGTGCCTAAACAGACATCACGTAACGATTAATGATTGATATTTTATGATTTAGTAAATAATATTTAATATTATAATTATACATTTTATAATTTCAATTACAAGAAACTCCAGATGAAATGGGTTGATTGAAAGATAAAAAGTTCACAAGTTGAGATGCGAAATGAACTCATTGATAAATTTATGAAGCGTTTAAATTATTGGCTCGATTTTAATTTTTTGAAAAACAATTAATTGACAAAAAATCGAAGAATAGAGACAAAATTGACAATCTTTTTGTTGACTAAAGCATTTGTGCTTTCACGGTATACATTGGATTAAAAGAGACTAGGAACTTAATTTTTCACAGAAATCAATAATCAATTAAGCATTGATACTGGATGAGTGGGATATAATTAAATAGGTTGTCTAATAATATAATAATCGTTGGTGGGATCAAAATTGAACGGAAAGGGAAGAAGAAGAAGAAAAGATAAATTGGGAGAAGTTTTTGGAGTACAAATGACTAGTTCTGTTTTGACTCAACATGGAATAGTGTTAAATATATATTTCAGCGCAATTTATATATAAATATTTATTGGTTGGAGGAGATCATGATTTAGCGTATTAGTCGTCCCTCAGCCTTGCACCAATTCGTATTGGGTTTCGTAATATTGTGTTCCTGGTGGAGCATGATAAGTGGGTGGAACATGAATTCCAGCATGGTGTCTCATGTATTCCTCAAATCCATGAAGTTGCTTTCGTGTCTCCGGTAGAGATGATTGTTTCTTCAATTGTGATCGTCCTGGTGGAGGCCAAACTGGCTTGATTCGTCCAACGGTAGTGGCTCGATAATGAGGATAACCAGATTCTCCATTGGTTAATTCAGAAGGATGCCAAGCATTTGAAGCTGGTCCTGATCCTGGAGGTGGAAGTTCTTGCATACTTCGGTGAAATTGGGGTCTTGGAGGAGGCCAAATAAAATGCTTGGAACCTGATGAACGGGGAAAATGAGAATAAAAATTAAATACAATTAAACTGCTTTGATTCCCACTAAGAATTATAAGAAAATTATATTGAAAATGGAAATTTTTGATCAATTAGTCTGATTATATCAAGTTTACATTTTATTTTTAGGAATGAAGCCAAGGAATTTACATTTCTTCACTTTTTATTTTCAAACTTAGATGAGTTTTCGCTCAAAAAACTGTTTAAAGGTAGATTAGTATAAATTTCAAGGCGACTTAATTTTGTTCTTTTAAACCCTTTTTCTATTCATGTAAGTATGATCTAAATCAATGCCATTCAAGCAACAGTTGATTTTTTGGCATCGCTTTTTCATCTTGTTTCTTTCTCCTTCTGTCTTGTTGTTGGATGTAATATCAGTAATAATAATTTTCAACTACAAATCCAAAGATTTAACGAGGAATGTTGACTCATAATCACTGTCAACTTGTTCTAATTTTAGCTCATCAGCTTGTATTAGACGTATAGCCACATACGAAGCACACATGAAGACTCTTGATACTCATTTAGAGCGCGAAGAAGCCATCGATAGCGGCTGAATGGCAGTGATTTGGATTGAAATGTATCTAAAATGTAAGCATTTTTTAATGAAGCCTTGAAAATTAAGTTTACTTGTTCATCAAAAAATCAGAGTCTGAATCATGTTTTGGGATAGTTGGATAGAGAAATTGAATCAGAGGACTTGATATGGTTGACAGTTTGTCAAATGTCTTTAATTGACAAATTGATTGCCAGCCAAAGCATTATTTTCCCATAATCAAGAGACTAGGTTATTCGGAGTGATAATTATTTAGGTAAAGTGTCTAACATTGTACAAAAAAAACTCATTAACATCTTAACGATCAAAGCTAAATGCATTCAAAATGCTTTGGAAATTAAATTTGATTAATAATGTTATTGATGATATTAAACATGAAGCATTTATCCCTTTATTTCATTCCACTTAATTCAATCAATACTTACGGCAGAATTAATTACTGAAAGAAATTGTTAATTATATGTTGAATGTTTTTCCAAACCAATCAAAATGATTTATTGGTTTGCCATCTATTGGGCTGGCTCAACTCCAAAGAAAATGGATATAAATATTTCACGAGCACACAAAATCAATCACCTGAACTCATTCTCAGATTACTATAATGATAGATATTGACGGAAATCAATGCACAATATTGATTGGTTTTTAAATTCATAATGAATAAGATCGTCTTATAATAATCTAAAGGTCTTGTTAGTGGTCAGTTTAAAATAGTTACCTTCGGGATGAATGTGACCTGAATTAAAACCAACTCTGGGTAAGTGTCGTATTGAAGATCGTTGAGGAGGCCATTGGACATTAGAGCGACGTGAACCGGGTTCATTTGAGAAAGCAGGTTTAACTCTGGTTACTGAGTGAACAGGGTGAGTGATGTAAGTTTGCTGTTTTCTTGCCTGAGAGGGTAACAAATGGTCAGGATGTTCAACTTCAGCTTGTGGCATAGTCTCTTTGACCACTTCATCGACTGGGTGATAGCCTTTAAGGTCAAGTGGCTGTTTGAATTCTTTTGGAAATTGAACTACACCACCTTGACGTAATAATGGTCGGTGTTCCTCTTCACCTAAATGTGAACCATCCGGTAATTTTGCATTTGGATCGCGAATTGAACGAGGAAACTGAAGTACAGTGGGACGTACAAAATCTCTGGCTTGTACTTCTTCACCCAAGTGAGGTGCTTCAGGAGGTTTAGGTGCATTAGGATTGGGATCTTTACTTGGAAATTGAACCAAACTTCCCATGTGAAGAACTAATGGTTTAGATGCGGCTTGACGTGTATTTTGACTGTCATAATTATTATTATCATAAAATTGTTCAAATACTTGCTGTTGTTGTTGCTGCTGTTGCATTTCCTAAAAATTGGGACAACAGAAACGTAAATGTTAATATAATGTTATTTTCATTGTAATGACGCTTAATGGCTTTGGTTAGTATTGAATGTAATGCTTTTAAATATGGTTAATCGACTAAATAGTTTTGATATTTACCTGGAGTCTCCGCTCCTCTTGCTGTCTATAATGCTCTTGCAGAACTTGTTGCTCGTATTGTTGATTATAATATTGTTGTTGCTCCATTTGCTGACGAAACAAATCTTCGTCAACCATTTGAGGTTGTTGGTAATTCTGTTGATAACTATCTTGCTGCATCATTCTAGTTGACTGTTGCAATTTAGGGGAAGTTTGATTGTTATTGTTTATTTCCAATTCAAAGGAAACTTGTCGCCTAACTGGCTGAGAATCACCAATCGGTGGTTTACCCACTGATTGTTTAGGAGTAAAATTAACTTGAGATGTAACTCGATGTTGTTGTGGTTGCTGAGGTTGATACTGCTGCTGATGTTGTTGTTTAGGTTGATAATAAGAGTCTGTTTGATTCTGAGTGGAACCTATGGTTGATTCAAAATTGAGTGGTGATTGGTTGAAAGAGTTACTCTCGAAGCCGTAGAAAGAATCAATAGATGAGGGCAAAGAAGATGACGAAGATGATGGACCAAAAGATTTGGTGCCCCGTAAAACACTTTCCTCAATTATCCTTTCCTCCTGGTAAATGGATGATGATGAATACTCCCTCGATGATTGACGACTAGGAGGTTTCGGAGGAAGGCGGTTTGAAATCGATTTACCGTCCTGCCGAATGGTTGCTTGAGGGTTGATCACACTTGGGCTAATTAGTTGATTTCCGATGAATTAAGTAACTCAGGTCCGGTTCTCGCTCAAAGGTAAGAAATCCAAATAATGTGTCACAAAATATGGCCTCTGAGATGAATAGGAAAAGAAATATAAATTTAGCAAACGTAAAATTGAAAGATCAAAATTAACTTGAAGAAAATTAGTTACCCAGAGAAGTGAAATTATTTCGAGCAAGATGTCGGTTCGATTCGAGATGAAATTAAAAGTGAATCCTGTAACTGTTCAAGATAAACTGCAGAAGTAGGTAAGTTTGACTGTTAGTTATAACATTTGTGAAAGGGATGGATAAAACTTTTTGACTCTTTTTTCCCTTGATTTCGATAAAACTGATAAAAGGTACAATTATACTACAACCAACTCTAAACTGATATACTGTTGATGATAATACTAATGATGATGATTATGATGATACTGATTTCGATGTTCAACTGAAACTAAAATATATTTTTAAACTTTTCATAATAAATCTGTATGAGTGAGCACAAGTGTTAAGCTATTTTTTTGGGTAAAGGATGTTACCCAGTTTTTTTGTGTAAGTCACAGTAATAATAGAGAAGACGACGATGACGATGACAAAGATGATAATGATGATGAGGGAAGAGGATAAAGATGTTAAAGAATTTCAGTTAAGTCACCTAGAAAAAGAATCTTGAATTTTCGTTATTACTGAAGGAAAGACAAACTTGGCATGGATTAACAGAGAAAGAGAGACATCTTTTTGGGTTCACGAATAAATACATGATGATAATGACTATGAGGATGATAAAGGGAATAAGTTATAAATATTTACTGCATTGGTAATGTTCAGGAGGATAAGTTAAGTAGGAGGATGAATAACTGTAAGTAAAAAGCTGAATGTTGGTTATAAAGACGCTTCTGCGTTACTCTCAAATTGAGCTTTTCAATCGTTCGTCATCTGTTGCTAAATATAACACTTGTTCCATCCATTGGCTGTCTTTGTCGTCTATTAGTCCGTCTGTTTGTGCCTTCGCCTTTTATTTCATTAAATTGATTCGTAATGAGTCAGTAGGTGATCGGATAAAGCAAAAGCTAAAAGTTGTAAATGAATATTTCATTTTTTGGCAACTTTGACTCTTGGCGATTCTTTGTTTATTCAACCATTGACGACACAAAACATTCAGATTTAGATTTTTTAGATTTGCAAGCTTTTCAAGCTCAACTTTGTATCTGACATTTGATTATAAACATTAGTATTAACCTTAATCTTGTCGAGTCATTAACAAATTAAAACATAATTCACAGGGTTAATTAGAGTTGAAGAGGCAGGTTGATGAGCAATAAATTAATGACATAACAATTAATAATGTAAATACGAGTTTACAAGATGTTATATAGATGAATGAATCATCTCAAATTTTTTGCATTCTCGTCAACTTACCAAAAAGATAATGGCTGTTCAGTTACTATCAAAGAGTAAGAGTTACGCTCTTTGGTTATGGTTTGGAGTCATTCCGAAAATCGTAAACAAAAAGTTCTATGGTGAGCATCAATATCAAGTTTCTTTGTGATACGATATGACGACTTAATAGTCACCTAAAATAACAAAATTAAGATAAATTAAATTTTTTGGACTTTTAAAAAAGATATTCCTACTCAATGTGTGAAAATAGCAAATGTTGAACCCACGATGAAAATACTTTGAATCACTCTTTCTGAGTGGATTTACTAGAACTATTATTCTTAACTGTGATGTTTTGATTGTTCAACTCAATGATTATGACAGTTGGTAATCGTGTTCAGTTCTACCCATATCAAGTTGATTGGTGATTTGAAGATTACAATGCCAAGATACCAGAAGATGGAAAAAACTTGTTGGTTCTAACATTTTTTTAAAGGCTAGAAGTGATTTTGAGCTTTGAGATGTAGAAGTGTTTACTGAAATCTTAATTATTCCTTCTTGAGGTAAATCAAGAATCTTGTTTAAAATTACATTGACCGGATATACTCTTTATTACTTACCAATTGTAATATTTTTTTAAAAAAATCAGCAATGGTTACTTTTCATTCCCTGTAACCAAGCAATCGATATCAGTAACGAGTCTATCTCTATCTATGGGTATCTGAATACCAAAGACTAACTCTTTTAGCGTAAACGAGTAGCTACAGGTTTTAATGTTTTGGTTTGCCTCTTTCTGTCTTTAATGCCTTTTTTGATTGATCCTCGTTCCTTGGTTGTATAATATCTTATTTCTTTGCTTAGTTTTATCAATAATTTATTGAGTTTTTCCAGATTAACAGATTTTGTCAGTGAATTCATGTATTGTGGTCGTTGATTATTTGATTTCAACAAAGTGGCTTTTGTGTTTACTTTATGTAATGGACGATGGTGATAGTAAACAACCTATTGTGAAACCTTTAGTCAACAAGTATATACGGATCGAAGAAAACAAAAGGAATAGTCTTAAATCGTTTCTGGAAGATTGTTTCAGCAAAATCGGGAAAATGGAAGATTTTACAAACATGAAAGAAAATATTTCTATAATTGGACAAATTATCGACAATGCTAGCAACAAGCCTAAGGAGGAGGAAGATGACGAAGAATATTTTACTCTCAGTCAGTGTATTGATGAAATCAACAAACCTGAACCTGAAACTGTAGCTGAAACTGAACCTAATCCTGAATCTAAACCTGAACTTGGACATGATGAGCTTTTAAATGCTCCACAAGAAATGATTGACCACAACAATGGTGATTTCAGTTCAAGGGATCAATGTAATCGCGATACCACCAAAGATACTGCAATAGAAACCCAATTTTCTGAGGAATTTCATTCCAATGATAGTTTTTCGTGTATTAAAGTTAAGCAAGAGCCTATTGAAGATCCTGAAACCAATGATGATTTCCATGGCGATCAAGGATTGACTGAAACAGGGGATACTGATAATTATGAGTCTTTTCAGACACCGAAAAATGCCAAAACTATTAAGACTGGAAGTAAATCTACAGGAAGGATTCGATCAAGAAAATCGCGACTATCTACTCGTGAAATTGAAAAATCTAATCGTAAAATAACTGAATTTTTCCAAATCACATCTAAATCAAAGAGTTCAATTCCTGTTAACAACCACAAAAGCAAATTGACTGATGATGATAACTTATTCATCCTTTCTGCTTTCCACGGTGATGGAACCTTTTGTGTCTTGTGCAAGAAGAAATTTTCAGCTAATTATCTAAAAAGACATTACATCGATCAACACGAGGTTTCCAAAGATATTTTTCTAACTGGACGAAAAATCAAAACAGAAGACACGAAAGAAAATATTGTCAAAGACAAAGTTTAGGATTAGCCATGTTCTTCATTATTGCTATTCAAGCGGATTTGATTTACATTTTTCGAATGGAAAAAGTAAACGCCTAAACCATGCCAACCGTCTAGTTCTTTAATAACCAGAAGCTTGTCAAAGCCTCAGCCATGATAATCTGGTCGAATTTGTTCTCCAACCTTTCAGAATTACTTCATACGATTTTTTTCTTTTTTTCCTTCTCATTTCTTCAGTCAAATTCTTATTCAATATTTCTGTATTTATGCAATGCTCAATTTCAATATTTTCTTTGACCCAAATCGGGGAATTGACAATTGATTGAATTCGCTTTCAATCCTGAATCCTGTAACAAATATATTTTTTCGCCACCAATGTGCCCAACAATCCTTCCCTGATATTCTGATTATTATATTTTGATTACTGTTTTTGTAAGATTATTTCTATTATTTATAATATTTCTTACATTCAAAAATGATCCAATTATCAATGTTAAATCGTCTTGTCAAATAAAAAGACTCAAATTGTCCATTAATGGACTGTAATGCAAATTTTTGTGTAACTTGTGTAAACTTTTGTCTCTTTATAACTTAGAAATAAGTCTCTCGGTTTTTGCTAGAACTGGCCTTTATTTAAACAAAAAGATGAGAACTATCACTTATTACTGGAAAGTAATTAACTTGTTTACTTATCGGCTAATCTTAAGGCGCCAGAAAAATTGTTGTTATTTTCAAAAAGTAAAACTTACTCTTTGGTTATTTTCGTTATACCCATTAGAGATGGCGCTGCACTGCATTTTATAAAAAACAGCGACAGGGGCGCTACAGCTGCATGAATAAAAAACAAAATATAAACAAAACATTTGTAAATATGAATTTGATAATTTTGATTTTGCTATATTTAGATGATATTTCATGAACCAATCATCTCTTGATTTTGTGGCTTTTTTAAAATGTATGTGTAATCATCGCATCAACCAATTTTACGTTGATATATAGGCTCCATGGGAGTTAAAGGTCTTTGGACATTGCTGGAACCAGTCGGTTACCCGATCAGTTTGGAAAGTTTGGAGGGTAAAGTTATCGCTGTTGATATAAGCATTTGGATAAATCAATCGATCAAAGGGATTAGGGATAAAAGAGGAATTCTCGCTGAAAATGCTCATTTGCTTGGTTTATTTAATAGAATATGTAAATTATTGTTTTATAAGATAAAACCCGTTTTTGTCTTCGATGGAGGTGCACCAGCTTTGAAAAGGCAAACAATTGAAGAGCGACGATTACGACGGGAAAATATCTTGGCTAAAGCCAAAAGTAATGTCAACAAAGTGCTGCAGTCTTACCTATCAGATAAATTCCAAAAGGATATAGAATTTGAAGACGATGAAGAGTTGACTGATGTTGGAATCGGACTAAAAGAATGGACAAACAAAGATGAGGGTAATCTTTTTGTTTTACCTGAAAACTCTGTTGGTGATAAAAAAACAGATCAAGAGGAAGAGGATTGGCAGGAGTTTGCATTTGCTGCTCACCCTAAATTTAAGAAACTTCAAGATGAAGAATTAATTGACACCGAATCCGAGGATTTTAAAAGTCTACCACCAGAAATCCGTCACGAAATCTTGAGTGAAATACGAGAAAAGAAAAAGAGATTGAACAAGGTCGAGGACATTCCTAAAGAGACAGATAATTTCTCTATCTATCAAATGAAAAGAATTCTTGTTAGACGACAAATTCAAGAGAAAATGGAAGAACTACAAAATGAAATGATTTCAAGTGTTTCAAGCAAAGCAACTAGTTTTGTGCCTGAAAATTACAATACCTATGAGGGAATAACAGCTCAAAGAGTAATGTCTGATGATTCCACTCATTTCATTTATATGAACAAACGTAAGCTGGAAAATGATGGTGGTGCGCCTAAATTATTGATGCCAAAGAGAAAAAAAGAAGAATCTGAAAGAGAGTTACTTCCAAAAAAAGCCTACCGAGACATTTGCTTTTCTGTTGAGGATTTTGATTATGGATTGAAGGAAGAAGCTGAAAAAGAAGGATCAACTTCCCTTCGAGATAAAATAAAAAGTGAAAAACCATTGGGTCCTACAATCCGGATAACTGATTTGACATCAAAACCAAAGCCTGCGAATATTACAAAGAAATTGAATGATTTTGTAATTCAATCAGAGTCAAGTGAAAGTGGGAGTGATAATGACTTCATTGAAGTCGAAACAATCCAAGATAGTGATGGTGAAGAAATTTCTGATGAAAAAACCATGCCTGTGCTCAACAATAGCATGGAAAGCTCTTCCTCAATTGAACATTCTGAGATAATTAAAAAAGATATCTTCCCTCAAAGAAATAAAGTATCATCTACTGAATCGTTCACTAATTTCGATGAACCAATCGCATCCACATCCAAAGAGGCAGATCGAATAGAATCTCAAATCTTTAATCCTTCAGCGCAACTTGAACCTGACTTGTTTATTGAAAAAGAAGTTAAATCTCACAAAAAGGAAGAAAATGAGGATGATGATATTCAATTTCTTTCAGAATCAAAAGATGAAACTGTTATCACAAAAAGTCATCATTTTGCCGCCATCGATTCCCCTCCTGCTAAAAATTCCAATAAAATTTTTCATCAATCTCCAGAAAAAAGATTAGAATCACCATCAACTTCCAAAAAATCTGAATCTTTAACTCCGAAGAAAGCTGATTCTGCAACTCCGAAAAAATCTGATTCTTCTACTCCAAAAAAGCCTAAACCTATTACTCCGAAGAAACCTGACTCCGCTACTCCGAAAAAGACTGAACATATGACTCCGAAAAAATTCACATCTTTAACTCCGAAGAAACTTGATTCTGTAACACCTAAAAAAGCGGAATCTTTAACGCCAAACTCTAAGACAAAGACAACGATTACACCCACCAAGCAATCAGGGTCACTTTCTGACTCTCTTACTCCAATCAAAGTTCTTAAATCATCTGAACGGACAGATGAAATGAATGAACAATTACGTGACATAAAAAAGGCCGAAAGGCAAACTTCAACGGTTGCTCAAAACATGATCAGTGAGTGTCGAGAGTTGCTATCAATGTTTGGCATACCTTATGTAATGTCACCAATGGAAGCTGAAGCCCAATGTGCTGCTCTTGAGATTCAAGGGTTGACCAATGGGACGATAACAGATGATAGTGACATTTGGCTTTTTGGTGGTAAAACAGTTTTTAAAAATTTTTTTAATCAAAGTAAATTTGTTGAAATGTACGCAATCAAAGATATTGAGCAAAAACTGAAATTAAATCGTGTTACAATGATTTGTGTAGCCATGTTAACTGGATGTGATTATACGGATGGAGTGGAAAGTGTTGGACCAGTGAAAGCTCTTGAAATTTTAAGTGAATTCCCCGGTGAAGGACTTGAGCGATTGAAATCATTCAAAGATTGGTGGAACAAGAAGAAGAAAGGAAATGATAAATCGCCTGGAAACAAACAAAGAGCTCAGTTTTTGAAACTGAATTTGAGCGAGAATTTTCCCAGTGAATTAGTCTTCAAAGCATTTATGTCACCCATTGTAATGGAATCGGGCGAAAAATTTTCTTGGGGAATGCCTGATCTCGATCTTCTCCGCCGATTTGCTGGTGAAAAAATGAGGTGGTCAAGAGAAAAAATTGATTCTACTTTGACACCAATAATTAAGAACTTGAATCAGAAACAGAACCAGCTTCGAATTGATCAATTTATTAAACTTCGAACTAACAACAACAAAGTAGTTTATTCATCGAAACGACTAGCCAACGCTGTAAACAAAATATCTGGATCTAATGAATCGTCAGAAGTCGTTGCTGGTGGTTCTGGTAACCCTGGTCTTAGTAAACTTCGAGAGAAAGTCAAAAATCAGAGAAAGAAAGGTAGAGTAACCAATCAACAAACTAAACGAAAAACTGGAAAACCTGGAAAATCTGGAAAAACTGTAGATAAAACTGTAATTGAAAAAGAGACTATTGAATTGTCCGAATCAAGCTCCGGTCCTGATTGAGGAGTTGGTCGCTTTTAACTCTCAACGATTATAAAAATATTGTTCATCAAAGAAATGTGCCTCTGCTGAAGTATTCTATGTATTATATTTCTTGATGCATTTTACATTTTATTACTTGTTGAATCTAATACTTGAATTCATATTGTAATAGAAAATCAATCCAATCATATTGATTTCAAATTACTAAAGAAGCATGCTTTAATTCGTAAATCATCGTAAATAAATAATTTAAGTACAAATAAATTAAATTAAGGATAAATCAGAATTGTTACCACTATATTACTCTTTTCCCATAATGATCGTTGAATTTAATCAGGCCCGTACTTTGAATTTTTCAGACAAAATCCTGCTAGAAAAAAGTTTAAATTAATTGAAGATCACTATTTATTTTCCTTGTTGAAGATCAACTTCTGATCTTTTGGTGGGAATCTGAAGTTCTGAGTGCAACAGATACAACATTCTTCCAGCATGCCACGAAAGTTTCCAAAAAACTCTTTTAGTAAAAAAACAAAACAACTTTTTGAGTATAGCAAAATCAGCAAATGATTAGTGTAATCGTAATTTTTGATATTTCTTGGTCTTTGTTATTTTCTTTTTGTCTTTGTTTTTCGACCTTTTTGGGCTCGCAACTCAGTCGTTAACTTTTTACGGGCTGCTTCCTTCTTAGTTTCTTCAAAACTGGAAAAAATGAATGTTTTGATTAAATTAGGTAATTTAAATATTTTGAATCAGACTCGAATATAACTTACATAGTCAAGAGTTGGTCCACTGGATTAATCACCTCTTCCTCTTTTTCGACCGTGTTTTGAACTTCTATTTCAGCTTCTTCATCGACGGGATCCTCAGGCTTATTGAACTGCTCTGTCAATCAAAAAAAATGTCATGAAATTTCGATACAGAAAAACGTTGAAAATCAACTAACTTTTATTTACTTTCACTACTTCAGTGTCTGGTTTATCGGAAACTACTCTGCGTTTTTTCAACAAGGGTTTGGATCCTCCTTGATAACTAGCTTTGCGCTTATTCCACCATTTAGCTTTGATCATAACTGAGCTATTTGAACAAGAAACAATAAAAAATGATGATAATTGCACGTTTTAAACTAATAGACATAAACATGAAAACTATGTGTATGTTTTGCTCGTCGATCAACACCATTAGAAACCAGTTGGTTACTAGTAACCGGTTATTTTCTGGTTACATTGAGAGGGAAATTTGAAAAGAAAGTAAAAAAATTCTAAATACATGTTAAACATGTAACGAACACGTATCAATCGAAAAAGTTGGTGCTCTCGGTAATTAACCTTCAAATTTATTTAAGGTCAAATAACTGTGAGCTTGGATGACATTGAATCTCTGGATTTATGGTTATCATTTAACTTGAATGACAGTTTAGCTTAATTATTGCATTAAACGCTAAAATTTTTTAAAGTAGCTTATTTTTAATTTATTCACTTTACAAATTATTGAAAGCCAAGCATTTGAATTAAAACCTATCAAAACTATAATAAATACCAACCTAAAGCTTCATTAATTAAAGAAAAAGAAGTGAAAAATTTGATTTACGCGCGCTTATTGGAATGACTAATGTTTTTGTTGTACGATCAGACATTTTTCATCTCTTAAAAGTAAACAATTTCCTTTATTTGTTGTGTTAATCCGAATGTTCAATATGGTACGAGAAAAGGCTTGTTTCGGAATGGGCTGCTTCTGGCACGTAGAAGCTTTATTTGGGGCTCAACTAGGTGTTCTTACTACTAAAGTTGGCTATAGTGGAGGTAAGCTTGAAGGCCCAACTTATTATAAAATTGGCGATCATGTTGAAGTAGTCGAATTGGCTTATGAGAACGAGAAGACTTCTTACGAGGTAAGTTACTTTTATTGTAAATAATTGTTTTGCCTCATTTTTAACTAAAAGCAAACATAAAAATGACCCAAAGATAGTGTTTGTTAACTAATTATTGACGCAAATTTACTCAATTACTTTTCACTCCAATTTGTTGTTTTTTTTCTTGTTCGTTTAAAGAAACTTCTCAAGATTTTTTGGAGCAATCATGACCCTACTTCAAAGCCCTACAAGCGTCAATATATTTCTGCAATCTATTACCACACCGAGGAACAAAAAAACTTGGCCGAACAGACGATGAAAGAGCAACAATCAAAACATGCTCGCCCTATTGTTACAGAGATTGCTCCTGCTGGTAAATTTTATGATGCAGAAGATTATCATCAAAAATATCAACTCAGATGTAATCCAAAACTACTTAAGACCCTTGGTCTCAATGATACTACTCTCAAATCATCGGAACTTGCTGCAAAGCTTAATGGATATGTTTGTGGGATGAAAACTAAACAAGAATTTGAGGCTGATTCGAAAGAGTTTAACTTCACTGATGAACAAAGACAATACATCTTGGCTGCAATCAATTCAGGAGTTAAAGCACATTGCTAACTATACTTGCATCCAACTTAGCTTACTTACACCAGAATCTATGTTAAACTCGTTTGTTATTTTTACTTTTATTCTTTCTGTTTAACTTTGATTCTGTTAAATTAATTCCCAATCTTTAGATTGTAATATTATTACACTACTGTTATTAGGAAAAGCAATATAAGAAATGATAATGTGAAGAGTAACCGTTCATAAAAATCGGAAGCTTACAAGGAAAGGTCACGAATTGTAAAATCGATATTGAGAT